TAAATTCTCTCATACAAATTTTGATACAATTGGTTTATTGACACTATCATTCCCAATATATATCTACATATAGTTAAAGGAGAAGAATTTTACAAGACCTAGTCTTTCGTTCTAATCCTCTTCTTTGAATATTGTCAAATTTTGTATGTGTATATATTTCAAATGTTATTACGTATATATTTTGAAAATAAATATGTTTAAACTAATATTACGTATCCCGCATATTGTGACCGACTCGTCCAGAGAGATATATGTTTGAAAAATAATAAAAAGATCAATAATGCCGATTCGTTAAAATCATAAGAGAGACAACTCTGTTGCAATCTTAGCTTTCCTTAATTTGAGTTTTTTCCCTTCTTGAATCAAACCGTTTCTTTATTAAGATGCATAATTCACATGTAATTTATCCAGTTGTATTGCTATCACGTGTAGCTGAAGGCTGCCTCCTTCCTCCAAAATCCAGCTAAATGCTTCCCTAATTTTTTTTTCATATTACCCTAAATATGCTACCTTTTCTTTGAAATAATCCAGCTAGATTCTATATGATTCTTGTGTATAAAGTAAAAGGGCTAAATGTGTTTGAAATAATCCAAGTTATTGTTACCTGATGAAATAATTCAGTCAAATGCTACATTGTGTTAGAAATAATCTAGCTTAAATTCTGATTTGTGTTTGAAATAATCTAGCTAATTTCTACCTTGTGTTTGAAATAATCTAGCTAAATTCTGATTTGTGTTTGAAATAATCTAGCTAATTTCTACCTTGTGTTTGAAATAATCTAGCTAAATTCTGATTTGTGTTTGAAATAATCTAGCTAAATGCTACCTTGTGTTTGAAATAATCTAGCTAAATTCTGATTTGTGTTTGAAATAATCTAGCTAATTTCTACCTTGTGTTAGAAATAATCTAGCTAAAATTCTGATTTAAGTTTGAAATAATCTAGCTAATTTCTACCTTGTGCTTTGAATGATCCAGCCAAATTCTACCCTGGTGTTTGAAATAATCTAGCTAAATTCTACATTGTGTTTGAAATAATCTAGCTAATTTCTACCTTATGTTTGGATTAATCTAGCTAATTTCTATCTTATGCTTGAAATAATCCAGCCAAATTCTACTTTGTGTTTGAAATAATAAAGCTATAAATGTTCATTTGTGTTTGAAAAAATACTGCTAAATGCTACCTTATGTTTGACATAACACAGTTATCTGTCACCAGGTGTTTAAAATTAAAGAGCCTTATACTACCTTATGTTTGAAATAATCCAGCAATCTGCTACCTTGTGTGTGAAATAATCTAGTTAAATTCTATCTTGTGTTTGAAATAATCCAGCTAAATGCTCCATTTTGTTTGAAATTATACCACTAAATACTCCTTTGTGAAAAAAAACAGCTAATTGAAATAATCCAGCATAAAACTACCTTGTGTTTGAAATAACACAGTCATCTAAAAACTACCTCGAGTTTGAAATAACACAGCTAAATACAACCCTATCTGTGCTTGAAATAACACAGCTAACAGCTATCTGTTACCTTGTGTTTTAAGTAATAAAGCTAAATGCCCCTTAGAGTTTGAAATAAGACAGTCATCTAAAAAATACACCTTGTATTTGAAATAACACAGCTAAATACAACCCTGTGTTTGAAATAACACAGCTATCTTTTACTTTGTGTTTGAAGTAATAAAGCTAAATGCTCCTTAGAGTTTGAAATAATACAGTCATCTAAAAACTACCTTGTGTTTGAAATAACACAGCTAAATACAACCCTGTGCTTGAAATAACACAGCTATCTGTTACCTTGTGTTTGAAGTAATAAAGCTAAATGCTCCTTAGAGTTTGAAATAATACAGTCATCTAAAAACTACCTTGTGTTTGAAATAACACAGCTAAATACAACCCTGTGCTTGAAATAACACAGCTATCTGTTACCTTGTGTTTGAAGTAATAAAGCTAAATGCTCCTTAGAGTTTGAAATAATACAGTCATCTTAAAACTACCTTGTGTTTGAAATGACACGGCTAAATACAACCCTGCGCTTGAAATAACACAGCTATCTGTTACCTTGTGTTTGAAGTAATAAATCTAAATGCTCCTTAGTGTTTGAAATAATACAGCTAAATACTACCTAGTGTTATAAATAACACAGCTATCTTTTACCTAGTCTTAGGAATAAAAGAGCGAAATGCTACCTTGTGTTTGAAATAATCCGACTATTTGCTACCTTGTGTTTGAAATGATAAACTAAATGCTACTAAGTGTTTAAAATACTACAGCTAAATGCCACCTTGAATTAATACCTCTAAATGCTACCTTAGGTTTGAAATATCCAGCTAAATGCCACCTTGTGTTTCAAATAATGCAGCTAAATGCTACCCTGGGTTTGAAATAGTATTGCTAAATGTTCCTTTCTGTTTTGAATATACAGCAAAATACTACTCTTTGTTTGAAATAACACAGCTATCTGTTACCAAATGTTTGAAATGATCCAACTTTCTCCTATTTAGTGTTTAAAATAACACAGCTAAATTACTACTGTGTTTAAAATAATACCGCTTAGTGCTACCTTGTGTTTGAAATGATTTTAGTTAAATGCTACCTTGTGTTTAAAATAATACCCCTAAATGCTACCTTGTGTTTAAAATAATGCAGCTTAATGCTTCCTTTGTGTTTGAAATAATACAGCTATTACTACCTTGTGTTTGAAATAACACAGCTGTCATTACAAAGTGTTTGAAATGATAAACTAAATGCTACATAGTGTTTAAAATACTACAGCTAAATGTTACCTTGAATTTAAAAATAAACAGCTAAATCCTATCTTGTGTTTGAAATATTTCAGCAAAATGCTACCTTGTGTTTAAAATAATACAGTTAAATGCAACCTTGTGTTTGAAAATAATCCAGCTAAATTAGAATAATCCAGCTAAATATCACATTGTGTTTAAAATAATCCAGCTAAATGCTACCTTGTGTTTAAAATAATCTAGCTAAATGTCACCTTGTGTTTAAGATAATCCAGCTAAATGCTACCTTGTATTTAGAATAATCCAGCTATATGCTCCTTTGTGTTTGAAATGATAAGCTTTATGCTACCTTCTGTTTGAAAGTTTTCAGCTAAATGTTTCTAAATATTTAGAATTATGTAGCTAAATGCTTCTTTAAATGTAATATTGCTACTTTCCAGCTTCCTGCTGTAGCCTCCCCATGCATTTTTTCAGATACGAAATGGAATCGGAGTAGAACCACAAACATTTAGTAAGCTAGCTGGATAGCTTCCTCACATGAAAGAATCAAAAGTCATTGACAGGATTCGAACCCACAGCGTTGAAAGGCAAGTGGATTAAAGTCAACAGCATAAGCCACCCGGCAATGAACATTCTATCAGAGGACAGAGGTCTGTCCAAGTTTAGTTCAACTCTCCTATGCAAGATGGAATCAGGTGGTACAATTTTGGATCAGTCAAATTACAAACAAACTTGCTGCGACACATGAACACAAATAAGCATCTTCTATTTACAAGTTAGGTTCAATTCAATAAATATGTTACTGTGCTGACAGACTGTGGATGGGTTCACTCAGGTGTGTGAAAAGTGGGAGATACAAAGCACTGTAACAAAAGTGTGAGTCTGACACCTTGATGAGCAGGTTTATGAATTCATTTTGTCATATCTTAATAGCCAGTCACATACAATTCTCCTACATAACTAGTAAGAATCTATTTTCTCCACAAGTGACTGACTACTATTCTCACATCATTTCTGAATCAGGAGTGGAAAGACTCATTGTCCGAATCAACTGACACTTTAGTCGTGCCCTAGAATCAAACCAGCAACCTCTGGAATACAACTTACAAGTCTGATGCTCTAGTCAAGCTAATAACCAATTACAAACAAAATGAAACAAATGAATATAGATAAGATATTGTATTTTCAATTTTTCATCTTTTTTTAAAACAAATATAAACATACATTTACGCACCACAACATCATATCAAAATATGAGCAAGAAAACTGTACAGAACATGTATAGACTGTTTTAAATTGTGGTCAGAAGTTTTTGTTAATAATTTCAACATTTAAAATATATAGAAACACATTTAATTTAATTCAATATTTAAGGGAAATTATAATGTAATCATATATTTCCTTGTTTAGGATATCATGTCAGTTTAATGATAAGTTTTAACAGTTTTATCAATTTTAAGTCCTAAACTCATAAGGTCAATGATTTTTCACAAAATATCTTCCGAAAATGAAGCACATTACTTTACTGTTTTTGGAAATTTTCAGAAAATAGTCGAAGCAATGTTCATAATTAAAATGTGTGTTAAAATAATTTTTTGTTTTCAAACATTCATTTGTGCAAAAATTACATACTTATCTATAGTCTATAGCATAATAGAAGAAAAAATAAAAAATTCATATTTATAAAGTTTTCACTATAATCAAACTTCTTTACCATATGGAGATTGCAGTCAGGTTTTAAACATTACTTTTGCATTCATAATATATCAACATATCTTATACATTGATAACGTATCATTTTTCAAAAAATTTTTTTCTGTAATTCAAAAAGCAACAAAATTTTAGTAATCAATTAAAAACCAATTAACTTTTTCTTCTAATTTATAAGGGGAGAAAAGATTTTTAACTTATTAATCATTTTAAATTTTACTGAAAATAAAAAAAATTATTCGAAAAGCCTTTACATTCAAATTTTTGTTAAAAAATAATTTAAAGGAGAACGTATCATTTTTTCAAAAATAAACTACAAAAAGAAATCACAATAAACATATATGGCAAAGTATGATATCTATATGAAAAGACATTTCAAAGCAAGTGTCTTGTGAAAGAAACTGTCCAACACAGGTAAAAATCATTTAAGGTTTTAGCAGACTGGGCCCCAAGAATAATTTTTGACAATTCTATGAAGTTTTCATAATCACATATGTATGACCTGTAAGACAAACACTGGTCCTGTGATACCTATATATTCAGTATATTCCCCTCTGAACTCATTTCAATAATTAGCACTATAAATCAGTTTAAATATTTCTTCATAAAATAAATTTAAAACCAGTTACCTGAGAGGATTTCATTTTACCCTGAACTAATCAGATTTTTTTTTCTTTCTTGTCTTTATCATATCCAAGACATTAAATTCTGATCGGAGAAAATCCATAAAAAGATGTTTGTTATTTTTTCAATGAATCAATCTTTAGAACAAGAGTTACTTTATACTTATTTTGCTTACATCATATTACATACACATATAAAAAATTTCATCAATTCTATGCATCAAATGATCATTTGTGCTTTTAAAAATTGGGAAATAAATCTAAAATTAGACTTTATCAAGGAACTGCTAAAATTACTTGTCTTTGAAATCAACATTTTAATTTGAAGTCCCACTTCAAGAAGTGGAGCAACAAATACAATCTTAATACACTTCTCACTGACAAGAATGCAAAATCAGCACATTTTCAAATTTCAATTTACATGTGTCTATTTACTCTGAAAAGGACATTGATTTAGTTTGTTCACTGGTTTTTTTTCCATTTTTCATAATAAATTTGATTTTTCAAAGTTCTTCTTTCAAGATTTCTTATACAAAACAAAAGTGTTTAAAAATTAGATGAAAAATAATAAATGTAAACTAAAACTAGTTGATGAAAACATATGCATTGGAATTGATATCCACTAGCCAGATCAAAATGAATCTAGTCTGTATTTTTGGACAAATATAAGAGACTGGAAGTGAAATCTTTAGTTCTGTTTTAAAATAGAAGATCTTTTTCTAATAATCCAAAGCGCAACAAAAATATACAGGAAAGCATATTCCAGCTCATAATCTACTAATGAATGCTAACTTCATAGTGTTAACAAAAATTCTGTTCCACTAACCCATATAGCATTTCAGATCATTGAAATAGTGACATATAATGATATACTCATCAATGAAGTAAGAAAAAAAGTAAAATAAACTATTACCATAACTGTATCATCAAATCAAATTCTTTAAAATTATAAATTTACAATTGAGTTAAATGTCAAACCGTCTGTATGTTAAATGACAATTTTTTTTATATTTTCATTTAAATATATCTACTTAGAAAGAAATCATATATAAATTTACAATAATAGTTTATTCCACTTTTCCTCTGTGAAAACATATGAAGATTGCACTTGTAAGGTATGGTGATCATCGGGACATAACAGCTGCTAATGCACCCAATCCCCCAAGAGTTGCTGTAAATAAAAGTCCTTTCCAAATTTTATCCTCTACTGCATTTTCATCTGAGAAAAAGTCTGCAAATGCATCCTAAAATAGAAGATACCATGATAATGTGAGATAAAGTTAAAATGAAAAATTATGAATTAAAAGTATATGACATATCTATATTCTTAATCAATACAGTCAATAAGTTCTAGTTCTACATCATACTGCTTTAAAATCGTTTACGATCACTCTAAGCAGGTATACATTGTATACATTTTTAAGAGACAGCTATGAGATACAAGGGAATCCGGGAACCAGCCCCTAGCTCTTATTGAATAGACCCCTTGGTTCTTTTACATGCCCAGTGTATAGCACTGATACATGCGAGGATTACCTGGATTTCTTACCAGTACACCTCTAGTTAGGTGGGAAACACTGAAAGTGTCTCTGAAAAATCCCAAGGTTATAACCCAGGATCGAACCCGGGACCTCAGGAGTGATAATCAGTGGTTTAACCAACTGACCTATCGCGCCACCTACAATAATTTATATTATTCTTCAAAATATAAGAAAAAAAAATAGAACAAAAATCAAAGTGTGCAAATAACATTAATGTTATGGCCAGTCGTCTTATTGACTCACACTCACAGACTTACAACTGGTTTATATGCAAATATAATATTTATAGTACATGTAACAAAATGGTCATATACAATGATACATACATATTTTATGTATGGACAATATTTCCCCTCACTCTCCCTCTAAAAGTTATATTTTGACTCAAGAACAAACCTAAATACACGTCTCAGACAGAATCTAGCTTTGGCAGTCAAAATATTTTGACAAGAACAAGATTTTAAATGCTGCCAAATTTCCAAATCTTTTTAATAGCTTTTTTTTTAACTCTGTTTAAGTCTTTAATGTCCGCCACAACTTACCCATCCTCCATTATCTAAAATCCATCGTCCAAGTTTATTACCGACATACTTTCCAACATAAAGAGATATCTTCTCTTCGTAAGTTGGATTTCCTTGTCTAAAGTAGGCATTTAATCTGGCCGCAAACGCGTAAACAACAATGACTCGTCCCCAATTTATTTGACCGTCTTCGAAGATTTCATCAGCAACATTTACAAAAGTAGCAAACATATTAGAATCATCAAGATTCAGCTTGTTGACCATTGATTTCAAAGCTATGTCATGTCTATCTGAAACTTCTTGCACTGTTTTTCTCATTGTTTTACAGAATCTGTCCGGACATTTCTTTTCACAGTCAAGACCAAAATTAACTACAACATCCGTTGCTATTATCTCTGCCTGTTTTCTTACATTTTCTAATGGTGATAACATAGAACCTGTTGTCTGTGTTTCCTGGTTGATGTTATTGAGCCCTTGGTTTCCTGGTAAAAGTCCCCAATGTTTATGAATTTCAGCGAACAGATTTGAATTGTTGTGAAAACCTCCATTCCCTCCTAATGATTTAATTCCACCGTATGTTGGACTTGTTGTCGTCATTTTAGTTTATATGGGCCCTTCTAAAAGCAAAAAACTGACCATAAACGGCCAAAAAATTCCTCCCAGTTTCTTCTCTTGTTGTTCAAAATGGCGACGGATTTCTCACGAGCAGTTGATATTACGCTTACTTCCGAGAATTCCGTTTTCTAAATTTAGACACAATTACGGGATAGTTTCAAAACATATTTTATTTTTTATGCTATTTCACCAATATTCCAATATTTTTACTAATTTACAATCTGTATCTCTTTATAACAACTTTATAACAACTTTTAACACATATTCATATTCAATAATATCTTTTTGACGTAAAAATTTAGAAATATAGCATTAAAAATATTTGCTGAATTGTTCCCTCTTGTTTATCTTTATCAGAATAGGGTTATACTTGTTACTATTTTTGGCATATTTGCGCATTGTTTCCCCATTTGACGTCACACGAAAGTCCAAGAAAGCTGAACACATAATAGCGAAAGCTGGTTAATTTCCTCATTTATTGTGGGATCATCGTCAAACCTGATACTCTTACGGTAAGGAATTTAATTTTATATCAATTAAGGTATGGGATTCTGTTAAGTAATGTTAAAGAAGGCTCTTCCAACAAAAACGATTTGAGAGGTGGGGATTATCCATTTAATACGGTTGTGTCTAAACTGGGACGATTAACATGTTGCCGTTGTCCCGGGTCGAATCAATGTGGCACTAAATATTAAGCAGTTAAACTAGGCCAGGGTCTTTCAAATATAAATTTAAAAGACCCTGGCTACTGTAGGCATATAAAGGCAAGTACATGAGATTCTGTTATCGAATATATTATAGGATAATGAATGAGTGTATAGGTTCAATAAACGAGTTGATGACACCTGTAGACGCCACTCTGCCAAAAATAGTTCGAATGGGACATCTGTTACAACGATAAAACTGGTTTTCAAACATTTTTTGCGCATATCGTTGTAACAGTCAGAAGTCCCATTCATGTATAAATGTGAGTGTGTGTTTACAAGGGCGTATCACGTTGGGGGTGGGACTGGGAGGAGTGGCAGACTCTGACTCGCGAGCGTCTTAGCTTGATGACTGAGTTCAATAAATTTAGTATTACATATGAATATAATATTCTGTTTATCACATATCCAAAAAAAGCACTGTTTACGGTAAAAAAAGAATCATCTTTTCATTGACGTGCATATAGTATTTAGTGTTACGCTAATGAGTGCGCATCTTAATATGCACGGCCGTGCAAAACCGTTTTTACATAGTCCAAAAGCGGCATGGGTGTATGTGATAAATATAATAGATTTTGTGTTACTTTTGTATCTCAACTATGATGTAGCCACAGTTTAATGCATATCTGTAGAATACCAGATGTTCTGTAAAATTGTTGAATTTATTATGTGAATTACATAAACAGTACTTAACAATTACCTTACATATAATACTTTCAGATAAACAAGTATGGCAGATAGCACCGAGGAAAGGCAAACAAACGAGTTTAAAGAAATATTAAAAGAGCACGTGAGTGGTTTGAAATCAGATATATCAGACACTTGTATGGAAACAGACAAAAAAGAAAATGAAGGAAAACAGGCATGTGAAAGTGCAGAACTTCATGAAATCAGTGACGAAACTATAGCTGCAAATTTGAATGAACATGTTCAAAATGAGACAGGTTCAGATTGCCTTATGCTTTGTGGAAGGATACTGAGACTTATAGGAGATGAAGCCACGTGCAGGGCATGTGGAAAGAGTCTTAGAAACATTGGTGATGAAATATTTTGTAACTATGCAACTAGAAATATGGTGCATTCGCTACTGAATGATTTATCCGAAAGTAGAACAACATCTGAAACTGTTCGATAATTGTGTTCATTTGCTTTGTTGTCGATTGTTTTCTTCCATAATTAGTCTTTGTCTAACAAGGCTTAGCAATGTTTACCTTTTTTGTAATGTTTATTCCACATGTTACTCAGATAAAGTCGATCAGTGATGTAAATACATGTATGTATACAATATTCCTGATTGTGTAAATGATATTTTGTTTGTTGTTGTTCATTTGAACAACACTAATCATGTTTAATAGGGCCAGATACATGATGTTGTTCATGCCAAATTGTATATTGTAGAATCGTTTGTAATTTTGCTCAAATATTGAATACATATTTTAAGATGTTATATTCCTAAATTGTCAATTGTTTTATGAATTGCAATAAATATGTTATTGTTAAACTTTTGTCTTCTTGTGACTCCAAAGGTTGTATGTATTTATCAAAGAAAGAAAGATTACATATATTTAATTCGATAAAATTATTCTTCATCCAATAAGTTAAGCTGAATTTCTTAAATGGACATTTCTAGCTTCCATCTTTGGAACTGTTCTGATATCACTACTGTCTTATGGAACACAGTTTAAATTGTATGCTGCATTGTTAACTAAAACTTTCGCAGCAATTCTGGTGAGTAAGTTATGTATTATGCCGACATGGCACGGAAAAACCTAATTCCATGACAGGGATTCATAATGTTAAGACAATGGAGATGCTTATCACTTGAAGAAAATAGCGCTGAATGTGAAGTTTTTATGCTCCCCGAAAAATTTTGGGGGAGCATATAGTCGTCGGGTTGTCCGTCCGTACGTACGTCCCGAATTCGTGTCCGACCCATAACTTTGTTATTTGAAGTCAGATTTTAAAACTATTTGACAGAAATGATCACCATATTAAGACAATGTGTCGCGCGCAAAATTTGGGTCGCTACCTTGAAGGTCCATGTCACAGCATGACCTTGCAGCAAAATCGTGTCCGGTCCATAACTTTATTATTTGAAGTCTGATTTTAAAACTATTTCACAGAAATGATCACCATATTGAGACGATGTGTCATGCGCAACATTTGGGTCGCTACCTTGAAGGTCAAGGTCACAGCATGACCTTGCAGCAAAATCGTGTCCGGCCCATAACTTTGTTATTTGAAGTCGGATTTTAAAACTATTGCACAGAAATGATCACAATCTTGAGACGACGTGTCGCCCACATCATTTGGGTCGCTACCTTGAAGGTCAAGGTCACAGTATGACCTTGCAGCAAAATCGTGTCCGGTCCGTAACTTCATTATTTGAAGTTGGATTTTAAAACTACTTCACAGAAATGATCACCATATTGAGACGACGTGTCATGCGCAAATTTGGGTCGTTACATTGAAGGTCAAGGTCACAGCATGACCTTGCAGCAAAATCGTGTCTGGCCCATAACTTCGTTATTTGAAGTCGGATTTTACAACTATTTCACAGAAATGGTCACCATATTGAATCGACGTGTCACGCGCAACATTTGGGTCGTTACCTTGAAGGTCAAGGTCACAGCATGACTTTGCAGCAAAAGCGTATCCGGCCCATAACTTCGTTATTTGAAGTCGGATTTTACAATTATTTTACAGAAATGACACCATATTGGGACAATGTGTCGCGCGCAACATTTGGGTTGTTTTTACACATTGAACTTTGTCTGTGACATAACTCTGACACTACAAGAGGTGTACCTTCCTGTGTCCAGAACCTATTCGGGGAGCATCACCCGGTTCAACCGGCTCTTTTTTATGAAGGTTGTCGATTGTAAACAAAGTAGTCTTCCATACAAAATGCTTAATCTCAATAATTGTAATAATTGCTAATATACAACAAAAGCATAAGATGTTTCAGGTAACTGGCCAGTGAGTAACCTTTTAGAAACTCTAACCGGACAGCAAAGGAATGAAAATAAATTAAAGTATTTATATATGAGCCATAGAATAAATTTAGTGCCTTTAAAATAAGCAGAAATGTTGGCATACACGCCTTTAGGCTTAAATTTGTCGTAAGTTAAGGCGTTCAAATATTTTTAGTTGAGCCCTGACTAAAATGAAAATGTTGTTTTTGAGAAACTCCTTGTTCCTTAGTAGAAACACAATATCCCACAATTCTAGTCGCACAAAGATAAGTTTCCACACGGCTTTATAATTTATATACGTTTTTTTTTTCAGATATATTTTATTTAATTGTGGAGTATTGTGGGATTTTGCAAAGTAAATTGTTTTATCATGGTTACTCTAGTTTAAAATTCGAAATATCATGCTTTTCAAAAAAAATGTTGCGTTGGGGTTGGGAGGCGATATTTTTTGTAGTTTAATCATAATAATGATAATACTGTTGTTGTTAAAAAATCGAATCAACAAGATCACAAAGTATTTTAAATTCTAAATTTTATAGCAACGCGTACCTAGATTGTGTAAACAGCCAACCATATTGACCAATATCTTATGTAACGCTCTGGTAGGAATTATAGATGCAGCAAAGTCAGCAGTCTTATGAATTTAATTATATTCTAAGCAGGACGGATGAAGCTCGTTTACGACTTTATCTTTACAGTCAATGAGTCACAGATCTTGATCTGTACGAAGATTAACCTTAGTATTCAAAACATTTTTTAAATACATTGTGTTACAAAAAATACTTTTTTCTTTTGAAAGAAATTGGCATTGTTATAACTTGTCATTCTTATTTTAAAGACCCTGAATTGTATTTGCTGCCATGTACACATCTATTTCACAATGTCTCATTGGAATAATTAAACAGCGTTTACGTAGCTGCATATAATTGTATTACCATTTGAATACAAGTAGAGATTTTGATGCTAAAGCATCAAGTCGCCGGATAGAAAATGACTGTATTATCATAAATATAAAAAAATCTGTTTAATTAATGGTTCAGGTATAAAGAAAAGAGGAACAATTTATGTTGAGTAACAGTTTATTCACAATAAAACATCATATATGAAGCAAACTTGCTTAGCAATATTGTTAAGGAACTGCTATGATTATTAAGCAAGTATTTCGTACGTTAGTTTACGTAACTTATTATGATTTATGCTAAAGATTTTATTGATAGTATAGATCTCGATTTTAAATTAATTAATATGTGGTAAGTATAGGACGAAGTTGTGACCTAGTAGGCCAAATTCGAATCTTTGAAAATCCCTTTTGCAGTTTTCATAAAACTATTTTTTTGCGCTATCGAAAAAAATAAGCTATTTAGTTGAAATCAATATTCCTGTCGTTACATACGATAAAGTTAACGTTTAATTGCCTTTCAGTTCGATAAAATATTAACAAAAAGATATTTTATTAGTTTTCATTAAATTATGTGTCGTACCGTTTTGGTAACCTGCGCGACGGAAATCGACGGAATATAACGAAGACGACGATTACCACTATTTATTTCAATAAATGTGGCTCTTTAGCATAAATCTATTTTGTGATGTTCAACCTAAACTAAACTATTGAACATTGACAGAAAGGGCAAAATTTAACCCTTTACCAAGATAAAATGAAAAGGTTTTGAAAATTTATTTAATTCTTTAATGTACTAATCCTTTCTAATAATATAAAATATGAAACTGATTAATGAAAGATAACTTTGTAATTATTTATACATTTGCATCTAATTAGCCCCCATACCAATTTCCAACTAGCATGTCTTATCAGCAATCTGTTACTATTAATAGATTCTATAACACTAACATACAACGTGTAGTCACGTGATTCTTACAATAGAACAGGGAGAATCTGTTTATAATTAGATAAAATAATGAAATATAATAGGTGTCATAAGATATAAAACAACCAGATAATTTAAATGTGTCATTTTAAATATCATTCATGATTTATCAATCATAAAATAGCAACGCTTGACACTTAGAAAAAAGTAAAAGTATCCCTACATTCAATGACTGGTCCATAGGGATACATTATTAATTCATTTTATGAAAATTGTAATGTTGCTTTTTAAGATGTCAATATTTGTATATTTCATTTCATTTAGCAACGTTAATTTATTTTTGAATTTTTAAGATTCTGAAAAATAATTGTGGTTCTTAATTGTTCAGTAATTGATTTGCTTTTATTTTCAGATTTTAAGGCCTTCTCCTACCATAGATATAATATTAAACTGTTACAAATATAGTCGCCGGTTTCTACCGGCGACTAATAAAATCTCACTTCGCCAAAGTCAACTCATAATACATCGATTAAATAATCGATAATGTTCAATTAAACTGAAAATATCAAAGTAGTATGAAGAAAAAGTATGGAACGATCTAATCGGAAAAAAATATAATTTCAACCTCTTATGTCTAAATCAAACGTGTCAAATATGATTAGTCCATAAAATTTAATAAGATAACAGAATAAAATGAACCCCCGAAAACACATATCATTAAAATAGAACTTTCCGCAGTTCATATTTTATAGAATTGGGTTTTTGTGAAAATTGATATGCTCTCATATAGTTATGAACAGATATTTTTTCTATAATTCACCTTACCGTTTTTGCGAAGAGTTAGATATATTTCTTAATAAAATCGTACAGCATTATTATATATAATATATATTATAATGTCATTCATACATCTGCGCTGTGAAATCATAAGCAAGAAATTTCATATGACTTAAGATGTAAAAAGAAAGGGCCGGTGTGGGACTCGAACCCACATCATGCACTTTAGAAGAGTGACGCTCTAATCCAGTTAAGCTAACCGGCCGTTATTCTATTTTAAATATTTTTCACCTTATAAAGTTCTCATGCAATAGTAATATTGTTGTGCAATAATTTGCCGTCTAATTATTCATACATTTAGAATTAGTTATTGTACGGTCATCATTAAATATTTTTCAACAATGTCGCTTACATAAAGTAAAAGTTTTATTGCACGTTGATTTTAACCAATATCGATGTATTTTCAAAGAAACCAGTTTGTATCCATAATATTGCACATTTTTTTGTAGACGACAACGATAACTTTCAGAATGAGTGAGCAGATTAGTATTTTAATGGACTATCGCATCTTCTTGGTCTATTCCGCCAAACTTCGGACTGTTAATAATAGCCGAGGAGTCCGATTGAACCAACGGAATGACGGAAACGGCCGTAGTGTTGCGATTGTTAACGGAAATGGCCGTGAAGTTGCGATGTCAAAATGTCTCAATATATGTATGACAATGAGAGTATAATATTTACCAAACAATGGTATTTGGGCGTTTCTACAGTTACGGCTTATAGTATGATAATTAATGTCTATCTTTTTCCTAAATAAAATATTGGTTCTGCCCTGTGATGATTAGAACGTTTATATATAAACTTTGACGTCATTATTGTCAACAGTTGTCGTGGCCGAGTGGTTAAGGCGATGGACTAGAAATCCATTGGGATCTTCCCGCGCAGGTTCGAATCCTGCCGACAACGATTTTTTTTTTCTCGTTCTTTTTTTTTAATCATTATCGATAGTTATATTTCCATCGTTCAGTAATAAAAATTTTTAAGATCACAAAACATATATATATTACTATCAAAATTACTCAAATCAACTGAAGCAATGTATTGATTGTTTGTTTGTTTCCTTGTTTGGTTGGTTGGTTGGTTGGTTTTACGGCGAATTTACACAGTCTAGGTCATATGGCACCGAAACAGGATTTCAAGATGAGCGGTGGGCAAAACCACCTCACCTGCTGGAGCTAAGAGATGCATAGACTCCAGTAATTCGAACCCATTTAGTCGCCTTTGAAACACACGCTTCTATTCCTACGAACAACAATTTCGCCTGGAGATCATGTTGATTGCAAAAGATTTCTCTAACAAGTCAGCGGCATGCATTTATTAGGTATATTGTACTTAACTTTCATATTATATGTACAATGTATTATATACTATACCTGAAGGCCTATTATTATTTGTGTTATTATTCTGCATGACGAACGCTATCAGCGTTGTTAAGTAGTTTAACGAATTGGTCAACTTATTAAACATTTTAATCTGCTGAGATAAAATTATATTTGCCTTAAAACAAAAAACAACTGAATATAAAAAAATGCACTGTTATTAATATGGACTCGTGCAGTTTACAGTCAATTATACCCTTTAAAGAAGGGTTATTAAGTTTATAATGAAATAAAATCAATGTGTCAGTTATTCGATCTGCAATACCACAGATCATGATATCTACGGAAAAATATTAATTTACGATAACACACAACGGGCGTGCTGTGACGAAACGTTTAGTTTACATGTCTTTTGATAAACCTAAAATCGTTTATTGAATAAATAATTTTCAAATATATCAAATGATCCGGCATTGACAGACGAGAATGCCTATTTCACAGTTTACTAAATATTAAAATGTCTTTAACGCGATTTAATGCCATATATAAGACTTTAAATATAGTCATATCATGTATGTTACTACAAATGTAAATGTATATGCTTGATTCCACGGTCTTGTTGATATAACATTAGTTTTATTTACTTACGATTTTTAGTGAAAAAGAAACAAATGTTTTATGTGTGTGACATGCGGTGAACAATTCTATATATGTACATGAAATATTTTGCTTTATAATAATAATTTATCAACTTTGGATTAATCATGGCAACTTCTCGTTTAAGACAGCGGAGACAGGAGGTATGATTTTCTTTCTTTATTTTTTTATAAGGACTAGATGCACAAAATTATGTGACATATCGAATATATAGATATTTTATTTTTTCATTAAAAGTGTAAAAAAGTGTATTTCAAGAGAACATAGTTATAGTGAAATTCTTAAAGGAACTCCACTGATGTCAAAAAGTCTGAAACTATAAAACTTGCAATTTTTACATAGATCAAGTGAAGCACATAAAGTGGCAAAATTTGCAAAGAATTAAACTCAAATGAAATTGGGGGAAAAACAGAAGGAAAAAAATACAACATTGCCATTTTTGGCTCGTTAGTTCATGTTTCGATTTTTTGTAAGTTATTGAAACACTCGAATCCGTTCGACCAGAACATACTAAGCAATGAGTTTAAAGTTTCTTGCTCACGAGTCATTTTGCAAATTAATTAAAATGATATTTCTTGAAAACCAGGGTGAGTAATTGATATGAAATTTAGCACACAAGTAATTAGTTCAAAAATCTCTGAAAAATTTTCAGGTCCCAAAACAAAAACAAAAAAAAAATCAACGCTTTTCACTCAAATCTAGCTAAGAATCGCAAACAAAAACGGGACATGTCTCAAATATCTAGGGACAGAGTGGGATATAGATGCAGAAATGCGCAATTGTTATTATTTTACGTTTCGCATGTGGTCAATTTAGAGGTTTTTATAAGAGCTCCAAACTAGCTAGGGTGTCCAAATCTCATTGCAAGCACTTCTAGCGAGGATTATAATATCTAACTGTCCTCAACCAGGGCCTTCACTAGGAGGGATTTGGAAACCCAAAAGCAAAACCTCCTGCAATTCCAATTAAGGGATCGGACTGCCGTTGTTATAATCACTTGGTGTGTTATCGCAATCGTTTAATTGTTAAAACATAGGTCTTCCATCTAAACATTGTCAAACCGATATTGCTGTATATATATTAATTATATTGATCCGTTATGTACATGTTTGCCGGGCACATGTAACTGTAACTATCTACATTATCAGTTTGCATGCATAAGTATATAAATTCGCTGCACGATTACTTATATCAATGAAACATTCACAAATGTGTCTGCTTGTCACACATCAGCTATACAGAACACCTAGAATATAACCTTCATTCTATATTGATACGATAAACTTATCGAATAATGATCACTGGGATTAAAATGCTTTACTTACATAAAATATATTATATTTATATCTTATGCCATGATAAAATGAAAATATTATGGCTGAATCATCTACCTTTGGAGTTACACTAGGTCAACATTAATAAATTGCATATAAATAAAAGAGTACAAGAGTGTCTTGCAATTACATTGAAATGTATATTGGTGGTCATAATAACAATGAAAGGCTATTTTCTAGCAGTTTAACAACTTTTAAAATGTTATTTTCATTGTTGTTTTAAGGGTGGAAACGGTCAAATATGCAACATTAGGTAGAATTGATAACAAACTTTAAACAACAAACAAGCGTTGGTCGTTTTATTTAACATACTAAATAGTTTCTCTCTATACGGTGTCCCGTTAGTGCCAGAGCGTTTTCTCTAAAACAAAAAGCGTGAAACACGACAATACGATGGTGCCAGTATTACAATGTGCGACGGTACAATGGTGACAGTACGATGGCGAAGCACGATATTACGATGGTGATAGTCCATCTTACTGACATACTGTCACCATCGTACTATCGCCTAAAATCATGCTCATGCCCATAATTAAAAATGAACATGGAGAAAAACGTTGACCATGTCATAAAAAAGAATAGGTCAAAAGTTACTTATCTTCATTTTGCCAAGCAGAGTGAATTAAAATTGTTTGTGCTTGCTTGACAGGAAGGGAACAGTACGATTGTAAAGCTCTACAGTATGATGGTGACACGATTGTGAAGGTGCGATGGTGACAATACGGCAGTACAATATGGACTGTATGGTGGCTGATTTGGTTCATTGTGCGTTGCGCAACATATATCCTTTCGCCTTTTCGTCTTGTCGCTAGTGACAACACGACAAAGCACCAAACGGCGCGTTGTCGCGCTGCCGTCGTGTCTCTAGCGAAGCAGGCCAAATGGCACGATGTCTCCCTGTCGCTTGGCTTATAAGCCAATCATTCGATTTGAACCGAGCGACAATGTGCCATCGCAACAACACGCCGCTCGACAACGCGCCGTTTGGCGTACATCCTTAGCGACAGGACGACAAGAGGAAAGTCCGACAGTGCTTTGTCCTGTTGTCGCTAGCGCCAACATGACGCACAAAAGCGTTCCAAATCAGCCACCATAGGACTGTCACCATCAAACTGTAGTGCTTCGCAATCTTACAGTCGTATTGTCACCATCTTACTTTGTGCTTTTCGTTCTGGCCCAACGGAACACCGTTCAAGGGTCTAAAATCTAGATTTTTGAGACAAGTTTAAAAAGAAAAAAAAATGATATAAGATATTTTCAAAAACATGACGCTTTCAAAAGGTACTTCACTTTTTATTTCATATTTACAGATTATGTCAGCTCCACCCATGAGTCGCCTTCCTCGGCTAGATTCATTTCAACTTCAAAGAGAGTTGACTCTACCAGGACGCCGCCAAGGTAATTAAACTTCCCTATGTGTAGCGCCGATATATGTCCAAACGCGACGATAAATGTCCAAAAATTGACGATAAATGTCTCAATCGCCGATAAATGTCCAAAACTCCTTTAACGATAAATGTCCAAAAATTAACGAAAAATGTCGCAACAAATTAGGTGTGTCGCAAACTTTGCGATTTTTTTGTAAGTTATACATGTTTTGATTCATTTGATAATTTTGTAATTTCATAATCTTTTATAGCAAAGTTAAATTGAACTACTTTTCATTTGAGTATGCTCCTGACTTTGTTAAAGTAATAAGAAAACTCCTTAAAATGTATTATTTCATTGTAAACTCCTTTCTCTTTTCCCGCCGCATGCTTTATATGCTTTTCTTGATTATTTTCCCGCCTTTTATTAGTATATAAGCTTAGATGATTTAGCATACAAGTCAGAAAATTCTTTAGGTTCTTAGTGTGTAAGGTCTTCTTGAAACTACTTTTGGATTAAAATTAAAGTGATATATTTTGGATATTTAAAATTATTTAGTTTCTGTGGTTACATTTAAAGATAAAAAAGAGTTTTATATTGAGCATAGTAAAATTGATGTTTGTTAATAAATCATAAAAGTTAGGTATCATATTAAACTGTAAAACGTTTCTTGTGAACCCCAGCTATTATATTTTCACTCGTGGCTACGCCACTCGTGGAAAATATTGCATCTGGTGTTCACTCGGTGAAATATTATTTGATCTCACATGTAAAACAAACAAATTTTCTGTTTATTTCATGATTTTTTAACGATTTTTACACCATTTTACTGATTTTTGCCGCGTAACGTCATGCTCTTATCTTCATGACGTCATCAAATAATGACGTCACAATGTTGAAGCAAAATATAATTCCATGATTATTTTTAGATTTTAGATGTTTTTCAGCACAACGTTCGTAAATATTTACGAACTACAGTTATCACGTACATTTTTTATTATGATTGACTACATTTCCGCTGAAAAAACATTCATTAATGATAAATATTTTATTTTTACGCCAAATATAGTTCGGCTACTGTGAAATTATATTTGGTAATCATTACTGTGAAATTATCAGAATATAATTAACCGTTATAATTCAGTAATCTACTGCAAAACATGTAATAATACTAAGTAATTGTTATGACAAATAGTTATAACAAATACTTAGTAGTAAAAAACATAATACAAAAGGTGAAATAAATTCAAACACTGTTTCTTTGTGGTATAAAGATTTCAGTCTATGAAAAATTAGTTAAAAGAAAAAGAAAGTCTACCACAAGGTGCTCATAAATGTCCAAATCGGTTATCGATAAATGTCTCAACTTTTCATATGTTAATTTGTAATTTATTGTATTAGATACTGTAACAGTCTATCCAACTTACCCGTGATTTTATCCTCTGGTTTACCCCCGACGTAAAATGTATCATACATTATTGTGCATGGCCAGTTGCATATCCGGATGGGGCGCGTGGGGCATGTGCCTTCTTAACTCACCAAAGCAATACGTTGTAGCATTATTTGTGTTCTTCAATATTTCTGTGCCCCATATAGCGTTGCCATTGTCCGTCCGAGTGTCTAAGTGTCCGTTCCGAAAAGTTGTGAACGGTATAGGGGCGTGGACAGAGTTGCATATTCCTTTACTATCAAGTGGTCAAAAGTTAAGAAAAATATGCAACTCGAGATCTATCTGGCAAACAAAGCAGTTAACCTGTATAAACCATGTGAGCTAATCAATGGGTTAACTGCTTTGACAGTTAAAATCTGACCTACTGATTCAACAGCGAACAGTGAAGACCTTGACAGGATGACGCATTTGCTTGTCGGGGATATGGTTCGACAATGGTCGTTATAAGCATATTAGCAACACGTGGTAAATGGGTTTTGTGACTTTTCTCTTAAGTGCTGCGAAGACGGTCCTTCTCATGCTACATTGATTTAAGACATTTGTATTTGATTATCACTCATTCGCGCGTGGTGGACTGAACGCCATTGCGGGGCCACCGCCTTATAAATACAAGGTGTTGAAAGGCTATACTTTCAGTTTGAACGCAAATGCGTCACCAGATGAGGGTATGCGCTATTTAACACCAGTAATTGGTAGTTAAGGTTTGTATGTCCCTACAGTGTGGCACTTTCAAGATCAACCTACATGGTTATACATGAATATAATGTATATATAATCAAGTAAATGTTCAACTAAATAAGGGGAAGTAACTGCTATATTACCATTTTACAGCTGCTTCTGATTGACTATAATTATGTCGTGGGAACAAGATAATTATTTCGTGGGAACAAGATATTATCTCGGGGGAACAAGATAATTATTTCGTGGGAACAAGATAATTATTTCGTGGGAACAAGATAATATCTCGTGGGAACAAGATAATATATTGTGGGAACAAGATTATATTTCGTGTGAACAAGATAAATAAAGACACCCATGTGTCACATCTGTGCCACCGTTATAGACACTTGACGTAATAGTATGTTTTCTTGCTGTGCTGGTTGGATACAAACATGTACATTTAAAAATTACTTATATGTCAAATATTAGCTTAACAATAATATTTAACATATTTCCGACAAGTGAGCGTAGAGAAATAGCATCGTTATTCAATTCATGGGCAGGAACGCTAACACTATTATTGGCAGTATCGGTATCACTTGGTAAGTTCTCCGTGTCATTGTTATCCAAATTGCCATTTGCAGTATCGATATCACTGGGTAAGTTCTCCGTGTCATTGTTATCCAAATTGTCATTTGCAGTATTGATATCACTTGGTAAGTTCTCCGTGTCATTGTTATCCAAATTGCCATTTGCAGTATCGATATCACTTGGTAAGTTCTCCGTGTCATTGTTATCCAAATTATCATTGGCAGTATCGATATCACTTGGTAAGTTATCTGTGTCATATTGTTGCTAACATGATCACCATTAGTTTCAACAACATATATCTGCTCTGATTCGTAAATTATATTTCGAACTATTTCCTTGTCATAGCTTAGGGCCTTCACCTTCGGGATAGTGACCTAGAACTATCATAGGTAAATTTTCATTTACCTCGCCGTCGGGGCCATTTGGACTTATTAGTGTAGTCCTGTTGTTTAAAGTTGAAACAATTAAAATCTGTGCATTATAGATATTTAACTCAAAACCTGATAAATACATTTTCAAAAAACAGAGAATAAATTAATTCTGTCGATAGACTTCAGCAATTTGATGGTAGAAGCAAGAATATAATATAAATATAGATGAATTATTATTGTACACAGACCACTTGCTCATTATAGTCAACGTTTTATTCTGCAAATCATTATCAAAAGTACATGAACAAATGATGTCTGTACCAAAGTCATATTTATGATACCTTCAAATCAATACTTATCTTGAAATCCAATTGATATTCATAATGAATTATGTAATTATTGTATATTTAATTGAACAGATCACCTATAACAGTGATCTTACGGGTGATTTGCAACTCAAACATTCCTCGGGTAAGTCGAAGAAGACTTTCAAATATGAATACCAATTCTACACTTGAGTGCACCTTGACCAAGGCGTCCTCAATTCGTCCTTAAGGGGGCCTTTCCCGAGTTTGAGTGGAGGTTGAGTTCGAGTGACGACACTGAATATAGCTATAAGTGTAGAGAAGTGCAATGCAGAGGTTAACAAGATATGGTTGTAAAACATGTATGCCCCCTCCCTAAACATAGCCAATTTAATATTATAACATTAGATTTTTAAATGTGTATAAAAATGCATAGTAAATTTGTTATGAAATACATGTATATCATTGCCATGGGGCAGAACCAATATGACCCATGGGTCCATGAATTGAGTAAACCCTGTAGTTGTCAATGAGATAATGTTATACACAAAATATCTTCTAAAAACAAGCTTTTCATGGTGAGGTCACTGTGACCTTTACCTTTGACCTACTGACCCCAAAATCAAACGGGGTCATCTACTAGTCATGACCAACCTCCACACCAAATATGAGGATCATCAGCCACAGCATTGTCTAGTTATTGAGCGGAAATGGCATGGTCTACAGACCGACAGACCGACCGACCGACATGACTGTGCAAAGCAATATACCTCCACTTCTTCAATGGGGGGCATAATAGCTTATTTTATTTGACTTTTTTATCGTTGGTACCGGTTGCCCATATGACCAACGTCCCCTGAAGGTTGTTAGTATATTATTTTTCGGGGGATAGACTGTATCCAACAATCAACTTATTTTTAAATACATTTTTTAAATTTTTCTAACAATCTCACAAGCATCCCGCTAGAGTCCTGGTGGTCGGTCGTGTGATCCAGGAACGACCGGGGTACGTCCGTAACTCTGTCGGCAACGTCCGGGATGATCAAGGGCTCTGCCGGGGCTCTACCGGTGATTGTCGGCACTCTATCTGACCGTACCGGGGCTCTGCCGGGATCACCCGGGCCTCTGCCGATATCATCCGGGGCTGTGCTAGCATGGATCTCGGCTTTTATGATCTCTTTGATCGAAATCTTAAAAGCGTTTGAATATTGTGTTAGGTCATCCGTCGTCCACTTACTATCTGCATTATCCGTAGTTTCAACGGGACTCTGCATGGATGGCCCGGAGTTCATCCTGGTTGTTATAAGTATGGAAATTGGGTATCGCCGTAGTGCTACCGGGGTTATTGAGACTGCAACAATATTTTCATCCCGGATCGCCTGGGCTTTGCCGGGATGCTGGTCAGTACCCTACTTAAATCGGTACTTTTAATCCCTATGGAAACTTTTATAATTGCTGATGCATTACTGTTGATCATAGAAATAAGTGCAATTTACATATGAAAAGTTGAGACATTTATCGTTAACCGATTTGGACATTAATGAGCACCTAATTTGTTGCGACATTTTTCGTTAATTTTTGGACATTTGTCGTTAAAGGAAATTTGACATTTATCGGCGATTGAGACATTTATCGTCAATTTTTGGACATTTATCACCGTTTGGACATTTTTCGACGTTTGGACATATATCGGCGCTACACCTATGCATTCTAATCCGTGATAACAGTAACAAATATATAGGGCTGGTAGACACCGAGCGACGTAATGTGATAAACGAGCGACGTAAAGAAATAAATAGAGGATATTGAATGAGTGTAAGTTCAATACTGAGTTTATTGCACGAGTTGAATAAAATTATATTATGCAATATTATTCAGTGATGACCTTACACGAATTTAATATTCTTTTTATCACATACCCAAAATAAAGACCGTTTAAAGTGAAATAAGAGTCATTTTTCATGGTCGCGCCTATAGTTTAACGCCAACATTTAGCGCGTCTTTAAACTATGTTTGTAGAGAGGATATTTGTTTGTAAGATAGGAATATATTTCACCAAGTGAGCACCAAAAGGTATATTTCACGAGTGGCGCATATGAACTTTTGGTATTCACAAGGTGAAATATATTTCGATGTTGCACTAAACTAAACAAATTTTCTTTTTATTATATGCAAAGAAACGTTTTAAAAAGACATTAAACCTAATACTGAATGAAAAGCGCGCCAAAATAATAATACAACGTGACGTCATTTACAACGTTACGTCATTAAGTTGGTACCCAGTACTGTGCACGCTGGTATTTCACTGAAACAACGTAAGGGGCTTAAATTCAAAACAGTGAAATTATCAAAGTGGTAATTTCACTGTTTCAAACAGTGAAATTACCAGTTTTAATTCACTGATAAACATGTATATACCACCGAAAAGCATGTAATAAATAGAGGATATTTGTTTAGTTCAGTGTAAGATCGAAATATATTTCACCGAGTGAGCATCAAAAGGTATATTTCACGAGTGGCGCAGCCACGAGTGAAATATGAACTTTTGGTGTTCACGAGGTGAAATATATTTCGATCTTACACTAAACTAAACAAATTTTCTTTTTATCATATGCAAAGAAAAGTTTAAAGAGACATTTAAGCATAGTACTAGATGAAAAGGGTGCCAAATAATAATACAACGTGACGTCATTTACGACGTCACGTCATTAAGTTGGTTTCCATTATTGTGAACGCTTGTATTTCACTGAAACAACGTACCGGGCTCAAATATTCAAAACAGTGAAATTATCAAATTGATAATTTCACTGTTTAAAACAGTGAATTATCAGTTTTTATTTCACTGATATATTTCTATAAACCACCGAAAAGCATGTAATAAATAACGCTATTGACGTCACGTCAAAATATATGCACAGCCCTGCAATACCATATTTACGGAGTCGCAAAATCGGCACGGGTGTGTGATAAACAAAAATAAATGAAAATTGCCAAATAACAGACATTTGTATTAATCAGATGCAATAAACGACGTGCCGTTTGTTGTTGTAAATGGTGTGTACCTAAAGTAATGAAGCTATGTTTAACAATGTATGTGACTGTTTGTGGATGGAAGTACTGAGGGAAATTAATCATTAATTATACATCTATAGAAACAATCGGAAGTGATGCTTGATATAAAATAAAAAATAATGGTATAGTTAGTAATGTTTTATATATAAGTGAGGAAATCCCGGAGTCATTGTATTCTTATTGTTTTTTCAAGAACAGAACAAGTACAACGTGATTTTAATCATTTAGATGTTGCAATTGTTTAAATTCCAACTAACACGTCATAAATAACATGATAAATCGGTCATATGTACTTTATTCTCTAGTTCTATAAGTTAACTGTCAACTTCTACTGACACAAGTAGGCTAGAAAATAAAACATATTCCTAAGTACCGTCTCTATGCACATGTATACAGCTGTTCTTCCCTTTTCTTAAACAGGAACAGCAAAAATCAGACAAGAATTTTTTGACAGCAGACGAGATGACTTTGTACAGGAAACATCTAAAAAGGCAGAGATAGAACGTTTAAAACAATACAGGCGATTCTTAGATAGTATGAAATTACTACGCAAAAACAGCGTGAAACACAACCAACCAGTGACAGAAAATAGTGAATGGGCAAGAGAAATCACAAAAATGTAAAAAAAAATCTGTTAAAAGTCAATTTAAAAAATGTGTTAATGTTCAAGTTTCTCTAAAAAAAAATCCAAAGAATATAAGAACCATGGAGGCAGCGCAATAACAGCAATATTTTTGTTTTAAATTTAATTATATTTTTGTCCATGATAATGATTTAAATCAGGTTTGTTCTCTCAAAACTTGGTACCGACACATATGATCTTTGGGGCATATAACTTTTATTTGTATATTAGTTCTTACATTCTTATGACTTAACGGGACAGCATACCCATGATACCGCGCAGTAAAACAAGAAATGTACATATATGAATGGTCAATGAATTTGTCCACATATCATTACCATATATTTATATTTTCAGAGATCTTCCAGAACGTCTGCCGATTACAGTACCAATACGACTGAAAAGCGCTCAACCAATACCACCACGTCACGGGCATTTACCAAACACAAACCCTATTTTCTACCGTGTGAGATTGTCTTCTTCCGCTGATGAAAATGAAACTTGCACGTTATTCACGGGAGACAATAAGTCACCGGTAAAACAGAAACCTCAGTACTTTATAAGTCAAGACTGGAGCTCTGAAAAGGCATCGTGGTTTAATCTTCACCATCGTGTCCCAGAATTTCAGAAAACAAACTGGATATGTTGTTAACCAGTAATTAACCAAGCAATTAACTGACTAATTTTCCTTTGATATTTAATTGTTCAGTATAAAAATGTAAATATGCTCACACCCTAAAGTCAGATTCCTACGATGTGAATTCTACAAGATCTAATAACAGTTACTGTAATGTGTAAATCTCATACAAGCACTGAAAAGGCTGCGAGGCTGTCAACTTCACGAATTTCGAATCTCCTGAATGAAAACTTTTAAGTTCAGCATCTTGAAATATAAAGATCGTGCTTGTAATGACATAAGGAAGTGATGATAGTGGCATTTCCGACTGTTCTCGTGTTTGTAATAACCGTTGCTTTCATTAGGTTGCTAAGCTGCCAATTTTAGACTGCCAGTTTGCTAAGCTGCCAACTTCAGACTGACAGGTTGCTAGGCTGACAACTTTAGGCTGGTAGGCGAACATGTGATAAATGTGCATGTTTTAATTAGCGACTATAGCCCTAGACCACATAAGCATCTATCGAATTTGTTTGGGATATTTTTTCTTCTAATAGCATTTTGATTAGCATTTTTAAATAGCCCTTATTTATAAATCAGAAACATAATGTGTTAATAAGGCGATTATAGATCTACTAACTTTATTCCATCATGGCTTAGACTTAGACATTTTAAGGTTACAATGACATACAATTCGTATGCAATTATAAATTCAAGGTATCTTTTGTATTTCTATGAAGTTTATAAATTATTAAACGAATTGGCAACATGACAAATGTTCGGTTTCAAAATTTAATTATCTTTGCTTCTATTCATTACCAGTATGGGACCTACAAATTGCAATCATTAATCTTGTATAAATCATTTCAGGAATTCTAAAATGATTAAAAAAAGTTAAGTGTCTATATTAAACGGGAATTTCATTACTAAAATGCTAAAATAATTAGCATTATTGATTTGTGTATGTTGCAGTGCATTTGAAGAAAATAACCGGTTGATATTTCTTATTTAATACAAACATTCATAATTAAAGTATAAAAGGTATCTGAAACATATTAATTGCTTATATCCTCTAAGTTAAGTATGCCACCTTATACTTATAACCGTACCAGAACACTTATTTGAAATAAGGGCATTCCGATTTAGGTTTTAAAAATTTATTTTCGTGAGGAAAATAAAATTGCCATCCGGACACATTACCATATTGTCTTTGAAATGTCTCGTATGATGCTGTGGTTGCAGTATGGTTTGTCATTTTTTATCATTTCTTCTCTGAATGAATCTTGGCTCATTCCTTTGATATTAATTTTATAGGTCAACGCCATGGTTTTGTTTTATAAAGCAACGGCAATTTAAAAGATTAATGTCTATATTAAATGTATTATATATGTAAATATTTTTCTCTATCTCTAGTGTAGTAATTGAAAATCGGGTTTTTAATTGTGAAATAAATTAGCACCATTCAAAAAGATTTCTTACTTCATGATAGTATCTGTGTTTGATTAACGTGTTCACCTTGACGAAACATCAGGTCTATAATAAAATGTACACTCAACAAACGATTTGTTTTCTTTCTTCTGTTTATGAACCTCTCTCCCCATAGTAACAATGCATATCAAGTACTAAGCTGGTCTACTTTAATCATAAATGTTTTATTTAAAGTTGACAACAGAGGGTCATTATTTTAGTGTAAAGAAGTTTACTTTTGCTCAATTGTGAAGAAAACTTGAATTGTCCGTGGCCGAGTGGATAAGGTCGTTGACTTCAAACCACTTGCCTCTCACCGCTGGTAGTTCGAATCAAGGTTTATATGTATAATTTCATTTATTGACGTATACATATCTGTACATAGTCATAATACAAAACACGTAATACATAAATCATAAGTTATGGTACAATCATATTGAAAATAAACATTGTTAAACAAAAGTATATATGGTGAATGTTCTTAAATCCATATTTACATTATCAAGGCAGGGACTTGGGATTGTGATAACTTATGTGAGGGATGTCGATGGTACTACTCAGGTGCCCGTTCGTGTCTGAAATAATGTATTAATACAACATAATATAATAACATCATTATCATTTATCAATACTGAATTATAATCGTGATTTCAGATAGATTCGAATCCTTTACAGCTAGATATGTCCACCAATTCAATTTTATTTTATCAGACAAGAATGAAAGGTTTTCTTTGCGAAACATACGAGACTTTGTTTGAGTCACCGTCCGTTAACATTGGTATTTTTTTACTGGTGCAACTCTTAAAATGGGCATTTTTAAATAATGCTTTCCCCGCTTTGCTGTTAAGCATATGGCACATGAGTATCCGCTTAGAAAGTCTCAGGTCGTAATTAAGAATGTTCCAAAATTTTTACTAAATACATATCTTTCTATAATGAAATGGGTGGAATAAAATAAATTTACTTAACTAACGCTAGTTCAATCCTGAAAGGAATGTGAATGTTTTTGGGTTTTTTCTTTTCTTTAAGTTTCCCTAAATTACGTTTACTTTCGTCGGGTTATTCATAAATAATTAAGGTCAATGCTATTGAAGGCGACTTTTGTGTTTCTACGTAGGCCTTTCAATACAAATCGTATATATTACTATTTTTAATATTCGGTATAAATGAGACATTTGCCATATTACACTTACAGATATAATGTGACCAAGGCCGTTTTTTAAGTAACACAGTTCGTGAGTGATGCACAGAAGAAACGCTGCATGGTTACCAAATAAATAACACTACCTGAATGACATTTTATCTGCTTCCGTGTTATAGAACTAGTAGCTTGGCAAGTGTGTAATTAAGTTATACTGAATATCTAGACAATAAATTTAAGTTTTAAATGGGTTCTTGTGCACATTTATTAATATCAAGGCGCCTTCAAAGCGGTAGTCATTCCTACGTAAGTACACATTCCTGAAAATACTTAAATATATGCCCTTATGTCATGGCAGCTGTATGACTATGCACTTATTCATTTTCTTTAAATTTGAATATCTTTTAAATACATTTATTTTGGCCTTTTACTTGCACACAAATCGTGCGCTAGGTAAGAGTGGAATTGGTGGTGTTCAGCCTATCCCCCCCCCCCGCTATTATTCATCTACGAAGAATTACGGAAAGGGCCGAAGTGTTGCTGATGGTTCCCAACAATCGCAACTACTCGGCCCTTTCCGTCAGTCTTCGGATTAATATTGTAGATAATAGCCGAGGCAGTTCCGAATGGGTTCCCAAAACCAATCGTAACAACTCGGCAATCTCCGTCAAGTTCGGAAATTCTTGATGTCGCCCGAGGTGTTCCGATTGTCCCAGAACCTGTCTAAATTATTTCCGTGTTTTTCCTCTGTCTATCTGGAAAAATATACGACTACAAACAGGAATCTGTGCTGGATACAAACCAGTAAGTCTGCTGTCACTTAATTTTTTTATACAAGCTACGCTCAAATATTCGCCAGACAGTCTGAGCAACTCTTGATATACCTGCGGTAACAATATTTTATCCGTTAAACTGTTAAAGTTTTGCAGACATTTTTTCTTCACTCTATCCTTGGTCATATGTTTTGTCAATTCCGTTGTTGTATTTTTCTTTTTATGTTCTAAAAGTTTTCTTTTTTAGTTCTTAAAGTTAACTCTATGAATGCAACTTTTTCAATAACAGTTGTCATTAATGATATCAATAGAATCTTATTTTGTTTTCCTTTATTAAAATAATCATTATCACTGATTAGGCCTATGTACCTTTTTAGAGGCTAGTCAGTGACTGCTTTAATTTGTGCCTCTAAACCATACCTGAATGTCTACATCTACATGATACTGGGTAACAATCGGAGTCATACCAGTGTAGATTGAAGAAGTCAAAAGTAAATCTCATCTTTGATGGGATTTTACTTATATTATATGTAAACTATGTTTTTAAATGCGTGCACTATAAAGCTAGTCTTATTCTATGTCATGGTATTGAAAAAAGTAGGGGAGATACTGTAAGAGGCTGGATAGCTAAGTCAGTAGAGCCGTGGTACTGTATTCCGAGGGTCCCGAGTTCAAGTCACGGTCATACAGGCTGCACATTAATTTTATAACCTTGTGACACCTACACCATACTTTAATTCCTACCAATGTTTGAAAAGACAATGTATAACAAGAACTGTCTTGCAGTTCCTTGTAAAAAAGTTGTTAATTAAACTTGTCAGAATAATTTGATGATGAAATACATTTTTATGTTATAAACGTTTTGTTTCTTTTGACATTCTTCTGCTAAATATGAACTAAAATGAAAATACTGATGAATTACCTTTTAATATTTCTTGAACTACTATACAATTTAACAACATTTTTTAAACATATTGTTTTGTTGTTTTTTTTCTAGTAATTCCAGTGACCAGATAATGAAGTGTTACAGAACAGCAGGGTAGAGCAAAATGAATGAAGATTACAAACCAAGAATCTTTCAACAAGAGAGTAGCTTAATGACTCTAGATGATACAGATGGGTCTGATGCTGACACTAGAAATTGTTCCAGTAATATTCTTGAAAACTTTCCATACCTGAAAAATGATGGACTTGGTCAGATTCAAGCACAACAGTCAACAGGACAGAATTCAAGGAATAATTTTGCACAAATTAATGTAGAAACAACAGGAGAAACGGTCCATAGTGGAAAAGTTGACAAAGCTATAAAGGATGAGAGTTGCAGCAGTACACAAAGCTATCTAGCACATGATGACTCAGCAATAAGTATGTCCTCAAAATGTAATGTACAATTTGTACTAAAAGGTAAATTGGGGCACAATATGGATACAATTGTTAAGTCTTTTAAACAAATGTTGATTGAACCCATTGATGTGGAGGAGAGGTTAATAGTGGACTATGTTTACAATTATTCAAGAGAAATAAAAACAGAGCCAATTGATGAACCTACTGTCTCAACATCAAGTTCACAAAAAATATCAGGGTTGGTTCCATCTTTAAAGCCATGTTTTCCAACACCTTCCCAGACATTTCATGAAGATACATTTGAATCTTCTTCATCAGTTAAAGGAATTACTTCTCAATCTAATACAGATGCTGAGTATACTGTTATAGATGCCAAAGACATGAGAGAAGTCAAAGATGGTGAAGAAAAACCTGTAAGATATACTGAGCCAAGTATTGCAGACATTAGAGCAAATCTTCTCGGTTCTTTCCAGTGCTCACAGAGCTTGTCCAATCTCAATGCTGAGTCTGATATTACTGAAAAGGAAATGGATGAAATAGAAGTTAAAGAGGAGAAACAGGATGAAGGTTGGTATGATACATCGCTTAAAAAAATTGCTAGCAATAGAAGAAAATCTGAGGAATTTGTTACAAATACTCCATCTGCAAATAAAGGTGGTCGAAGTGATCCAGTAAATCCTTTCGCTCTAACATCACCAAGTTTTAATGATTCAACTGCAAAAGCATTAATGACAACAACACAAACTTCAACAGCAACCATTATTATGATCTCCATTATGAGCATTGGAAGCAGAGCAAAAATTCTTCCAAAGATTGTTAATTCAAAAGCAGCAGAAGGTGGTCTTATTTCTATAGTAAATCCAATTGAACCACCTTTTGACAAGTCCACACAGTTGAACAATGATGAACAAATTTCATCAGAAAGAACATCCATTATGTCTAAACTTCGGAGGGAAAAATCTATGTCCAGTGATGATGGTAAAGCTGCATTTATGAATATTGACAGACTGGATGTTAACATCAAGATTGATGATGACCAGTATGTAGGTCATGGCGAGAATAAACGATGGCTTTGTAAGATCTGTCCAAAGTCCTACACAACAAAACACAACTTGGTTGCCCATATTTTAGATCATGGAGATATAAAACCCCATTTGTGTCTTGTATGTGAGAAATACTTCAAACAACTGAGTCATCTAAATACACATATGTTGACACATGACAATGTTAAACCATATGTATGTACATTATGTGATAAAGGGTTTACACAAATCAGTCACTTGAAGAGGCATGAGACAGTGCACATGGGAAGTAAACCTTATGTGTGTGACATTTGTAACAGAGGATTTGCATTTCCCAGCGAACTACGTATACATAAGGTAAGATTTAACTCTTCTGTTAAGAAAACATTTTGTGTCAACACAGTTAATATAGTTTTTGTTGTTGTTTTTTTCCATTTATTCATATTTCAAAAACATAATATTTTTTATAAATACAATCATTCACTTACATATACATTTTTAATAAAATCTGCCTCAGTTATTTATTAACTGTTATATCTGTACATTCACTTATTATGATATATGATATAGTCAATTTTGTAGACTTCTTTCTTCATGGCTTAATAAAATGTACAATGTAGCTGTCACATTTAGGCTTGATTAACATTTAAATCTGTTTTTCTAATAAAAATCAAGCATTTTGAATCTATCTGATAATTTTAAGGACAAGCATGTGTCTGGAAGTGAGAAATGTACGGACTGTGATAAGGAGTTTTAGTTCATAGACTGAGCCTTTTCCAAAAAAATTTTGGTTAAACATTTAACCATTTTTGGGGGGTTTTAAAAGTTTTAAAACATTGGGGACCGCATCTTTCGGTTCCCCCTCAGTTAAGAGATCCCCCATGGAAAAAACGAAAAGGGCCCCCGGGAATCCCCCCCCATATTTTCTGTACCCGAATGGGAATGGAAATTCAAAGAAAGTAAAAATATTTTGGGATTGATAAAAAATTTCCCTTTCCCGATAAAGACAAAATTTTATTGATTTTTTTCTTTGTTTAAAAAAACTTGGGTTTTAATTTTTATTTTTTAAAACCAAACCTTTTTTAAAAATTTTGGAAAACTTTTTTAGAAGAAATGAAAAAATTTACTTTTTTTTAAAAAATATTGATGAAAAAAAAAATAAGTGGGGCTTTCAAAACCAAAAAAAAAAATATAATTCTTATTTGTATTTATTAATCAGTTTTTATAGCGCATACAGAGTGATGTTATGTTGCTACTTGTAATTTGTATATGTATTTTTACATTTTATTTTTTAAGGAACATCATCTGAAGTCTCATCAGTTTACACATACTGGTCTACGCCCGTATGCTTGCCCGGATTGTGGCCGATCTTTTAACCAAAAAGCGAACATGCAGCGTCACATGTTAATTCATAATGCTGAGAGGGCATATATGTGTGAAGTATGTAGTAAAACTTTCACACAGCCACAAACACTGAAAGCTCATATGGTAGTCCACTCCAACACAAAGCCATACATATGTAAATTATGTGGTGTGTAACTTTTATATGTAACCATCTGTAAATTTGTGACAAAAAGTGATACATTATAATGATGTTCAGTGATAAATTGCTACAAGAAGTGGTTCATCAAATGTTCATTCTATCACTGCAAAGTCTACATTATTATTCATTGTTTTCAGAAGATTATCATATTTCGATTTCTTGAATTGTGCAATTAACTCAAATTACCTTTTTCTAAACAGAATAATATCTTTAGAGAAAAAAAATTGATATTTATGTTTAACTTCTTTCATATAAACTACTGGTACTTAAGTTTTGGAATTTTCTAAAATAAAAAAATGTCCTGTATTTTAATGCTATGAGATAAATCTTTCTAACATTAGCAGTTATTACGATATATCTGTCAGCATAACTTCAGGGCTAAACTAATTACACTGATGTGTTTTACATATTTCAGGTAAACAGTTTGGACGTCAGCATAATTTACAGGGCCACATGCACATGCATAGTGACAGTAAACCTTACACATGCTCTATCTGTCAAGCCTGCTTCACACTTAAAGGTAAAACAATATTTCTTGACATTAATCGCCCATAGGGTTCATTCAATTGGTGTAAATGATAACAGATAATAGTATGTTTGTCAGTCAGCACATGCTTTCATATCAATTTTATGTGCAAGGTGAAAATTTAAGCAACATGATAAAATTTGTGAATGACTGTAGCTCTTTTAATTATATGTTTACTTTTGTTTAGATCGAAATTTTGCTAGGAATAAAAAGAAAATGTCTGATGTCATGATATCTATGAAGTGTAAAATATTGTTGCTGTTTGAGGAGCAGCAAATCTCATATTTGAATTATGTGTGTGTGAATTGGTAAAAAATCAACTAATGCAGGTGGCAAAGTCTGTATTGCCCAGGTTGTTTCACAGCCTGTCTTAACCTTATTTAGCACAAAACACAAACACAGTTTTGCAATGGGCAAGGCTTACGATTGTTTATTATTTGAGCAGTGTGTACAAGTACATGTTATTGTAAAACTTCGTTTTCATACATACAAATATACATTATGATACGACAAACCGTATACATATAAAAAGATAAACAATTTCACTTGTATATTATCGTTTTGTGAATATCCTTACAAACTATATGAACCAAGATATGATAAGTCAGGTTAAAAACCAGAGATTAAACAATCAGCCCATTATAAGGAATGTTAAAAGACTCTGGAAAACTGTTCCTATCATACCAGGGTTAGTTACAGTATACCTATATAGCTTGTTACAAATATTTTATCAACATAAATGATTGTATGACTGTTACATATTTTTTTATATAAAATCTGTTTTATGTCTTATGTTTCCGATTTATCACAAATATTTATTACAAAGCCATTTGCAACAAATGGCTGAAATACAATATTCGAATTTGAATAAAAGTCCTTCACAATCGAAACCGAGCGTAGAACTGATTTCCACGAGCATTTTACCGCCTAAAACCACATGACCAATCACTGATCACGTGATATACGCATCAGTGATCCGCGCACTAGTTTATGTGCGACATAACGTTGAGACATACGTTCTGCGGCTATACTACGTAACGCGCAGAACTTAAAATTACTGACATGTGAAATTTTTCTAGAATTAACCTTATAAATATCATACGGACATGTAAAAAAATGTTTCCAGTAAAAAGACAAGTTGGCCCTGCTAATGTATATGAGACTTGAGTATATCTTCAAATGTTCTGAACAAAATGTTAATTGACAATACAATAGAATACTTGACATATTTTTTCAGGTAATCTGAATCGTCATAAAAAAGTCAAACATAATCTTGATGAATCAACTGAGGTTATGGAGGAGGATGCAGTAAACTTTCTCAGTACAATATCTGATCGAGCACGGGAAAACTTTTTCTCTCAGAGTGACCAAGAGATTGACCAAGACTCCCAGGATGGTCAATCTTCACCAGAATCAAGGTCCAATAAGAAAGGTCGGAAATCAGTGCCCAGGAAACGTTTCAGTTCCCAGTTAAGTGATGCTGATGTTGACAAAGATATTGAAAGTGATACTGAAATTGAAGAGCTAATAACATACAGTGACGAGGAACGAGAGAATGATAGAACTAATGAATTGAAATCGAAATACTTTAATGTTGATTCGTCGAAGAAGGAAAGTACAAGATCTACAAGAAAAACAGTTGTTGCTGCTGCTGCTGATGATGATGTAAAGGGAGATGGAAGTACGGACAAAAACTCTCCGGAATTCCAGCAAAATGACATAGACACAAGTATAAGAAACACCATGTCAGAGGTTAGATCTACACGGAAAAGGAAGAAAAAATTTTATGGTGATGATTTTACAGAAACTGGTTTAGATGTTGAATCACCGTCCAGGTCACAGAGGAAGAAGACAAAACTTGATAAAATAATAGCCTCAAAATTCAGTACATAGAATGCATAGACTAGTTGTAATAGTTTTGATTTGGTCTTAAAGGGAGACCCAGGCAAAATTTTCATTTCTTAGTTTTGAATTTTTCATTCACTATTCTGTAAATGCCCTAAAAATGAATACATTAGTCAGTCAAAAGAACAAAACTTTTCTCCATATAAATAATAAAATGATGGTTTCCTAACTTGACCCACATGGGCATGAAGCCCTAGGACTTCACAATAGTTGTCACAGTGAACACTGGAAACGTTAAAGAACATGTCAAATGAATGACTTAGACTTGTTTCAGTCATACAATATCCACAATATCTGTTATTGTACATTCAAGGGTTTGTTCAAGTCACATGACTTGTTTTAGAACTATTCAGTGATTCAATTGGCGTCTAAATTTTGTTCAACATATATAGATATATTTACGCTTCAAACCCAAAATATATAGAATTTAAACAGAAATTCAAGATGGAATTTGAGCTTATCTTTGTGCGGGAACTCCTAACCACATTTTCCGTATGTATTGGCTAACACACCATCGTGTGGTCTACTTCGTTAATTCGATTGGTTCTTCGGACCAGATTTCCCATGACCTCCAGAATTTGCATACGACTCTCTACTGTTCCCACGGCCATGAGACATCGGCACATGTCCACCTGTTCTTCTATTTAACTTTGAAACCTTGTGTACAGATCTTGAATTTTCAGAATTTTCCATTGCGGATGCTTGCATATCCGATTGTTCAAGCATACGTCCCATTGTAATAATGTCATCGAGTTTTTTTATCTGGTTCACATAACGCTCTTCTTCTAAGCTGATTTGAGCTGCCATGTTGTATCACTTGTTGTAAAATTTCATTGTGCACAGATCTTAGCCAAAGTTCTTAATTCAGTCACATATTCATCGAGCGTTTGTCCTTCTAATTGCTTGTATGATCTAAAGTTTCAATTTGAACGTTCTTTTTGGGAGCAAAATAGTTGCTAAGTACCTTTTTTGTTGCGTCATAAGTCGCTGCGCTGTCCTTTTTCTTTACATCATAGATGTTGTACACTTTTTCTCCAGCGTAATGTAGTAATAATGCTCTTCTCTGGTCAGTGTTTGTTATTTTCATCTCCACAAATAAATTTTGGAGGCGCCCAATCCATTTCTCCCAACGCGTGCCTGCATTGGATTTATCTGTTTCAAGATCAAAACTTGGACATGCTGGTAAATTGTTCATGGTTAACGTCTTAATCCATCAATTAACACATGAAAAATATATCCAAATATTATATAAGTAATTCCTTTTTGTTTGTTTTTATCCTTGACGCCAGAATGATAAGTCCTAATGGTGGATATTAATTGATAACAAGTATGTATCTGTTTGAATCGTGTTTACTAAGGTTACATTTTTTTCCGGAAGTCCCAGTCTCATATTACATACAACATACATATATACTATGGTGGTCTCACATACATTATAACATTAGTCTATAGGACATCACATCAGCTTTGTCAGAATTTTCATGATAGTGGTCACTCAGCAAGTTCAAATGCATTGAACATGTAATGCTTCTGAGGGATCACTTTTTAGCTCACCTGTCACAAAGTGACAGGGTGAGCTTTTGTGATCGCTTTTCGTCCGTCCGTCGTCCGTCCGTAAACTTTTGCTTTAAATGACATCTCCTCATAAACCACTGAGCCAATTTCATCCAAACTTCACAGGAATGTTCCTTTGGTGGTCACCTTTAAAAATTGTTCAAAGAATTTAATTCCATGCAAAACTCTGGTTGCCATGGCAACCGAAAGAAAAATCTTTAAATATCTTCTTTTAAACAACCCTAAGAGCTAGAGCTTAGATATTTGGCATGAAACATCTTCTAGTGAGTGTCTACCAACTTTGTTCAAATAAAAGCCCTGGGGTCAAAATTGGCCCCGCCCCAGGGGGTCATAGATTTTCCCTATATGCATATAGTAAAAACTTAAAAAATCTTCTTTTAAAGAACCCAAAGAGCTAGAGCTAAGATATTAAGCATGAAGCTTCTTCTAGTGAGTGTCTACCAAGTTTGTTCAAATAAAAGCCCTGGGGTCAAAATTGGCCCCGCCCCGGGGGTCATAGATTTTCCCTATATGCATATAGTAAAAACTTAAAAAAATCTTCTTTTAAAGAACCGTAAGAGCTAGAGCTTAGAAATTTGGCATGAAACATCTTCTAGTGAATGTCTACCAAGTTTGTTCAAATAAAAGCCCTGGGGTCAAAATTGGCCCCGCCCCAGGGGGTCATTGATTTTCCCTATATGCATATAGTAAAAACTTAAAAAAATCTTCTTTTAAAGAACCCAAAGAGCTAGAGCTAAGATATTTGGCATGAAAACATCTTCTAGTGAGTGTCTACCAAGTTTGTTCAAATTAAAGCCCTGGGGTCAAAATTGGCCCCGCCTCGGGGGGTCATTGATTTTCCCTATATGCATAAAGTAAAAACTTAAAAAAATCTTCTTTTAAAGAACCATATGAGCTAGAGCTTAGATATTTGGCATGAAATGTCTTCTAGTGAATGTCTACCAAGTTTGTTCAAATAAAAGCCCTGGGGTCAAAATTGACCCCGCCCCAGGGGGTCATAGATTTTCCCTATATGCATATAGTAAAAACTTAAAAAATCTTCTTTTAAAGAACCCAAAGAGCTAGAGCTAAGATATTTAGCATGAAACATTTTCTAATGAGTGTCTACCAAGTTTGTTCAAATAAAAGCCCTGGGGTCAAAACTGGCCCCGCCCGGGGGGGTCATTGATTTTCCTTATATGTGTATAGCAAAAACTTAAAAATCTTCTTTGAAAAAACCCAAATAGCTAGAGTTTAGATATTAAACATGAAACATCTTTAAGTAAATATCTACAAAGTTTGTTCAAATAAAAGCCCGGGGGTCAAAACTGGCCCTGCCCCAGGGGTGTCATTGTTTTTAACCATATGTGTATAGTAAAAACTTTAAAATCTTCTTTTAAAAAACCCAATGAGCTAGAACTTAGATGTTTAGCATGAAACATCTTCTTATGGGTGTCTACCAAGTCTGTTCAAATAAACAAATAAAAGCCCTTGGGTAAAAATTGGCCTGGGGGTGGGGGGGGGGGGCCTATATACAGGTGAGCGACCTCAGGGCCATCATGGCCCTCTTGTTTCAAGATATTTATACATCACAACAGCAGGTGTAAAGTGCTAAAATGTTGCTCCGTATTTCACTTCAGTGTTGTTATATTTTTCTGGTCCTTCTGGATCATTGATGCCAGCACTATCATGTGTTGACGATTGAGTGTTGCTCAAGCCGGTGCTAGGGGGCGCAAGGGTGTTGCACTTTTCCATTTAACCACATGTACAAACTCGATCAAACCAAGTCTGCAATTCTCATGTAATTTTGCTGTTTTTAATGCTTCTTAGACCATAAATAATTAGGTTGATAGTATATAGTATGATACACGACAACCATTCAAAAACTTTATATAACAGGTATCATTGGCAAGAGTGAGGTACATGATCTGATATTACACATCTTAATTCTATGTAGAATATAGCAGAAATAAGTTGCTTAGAACAAAATATTATTCATCATAGAAATGATCATGCTAAATCACTGAAGTCTATTATTATTTTGTAGTTTTTTCTAGAAATATTTCAGAAGAATATCCAGATGAAACATTTTTGTTGTTTTGGTCAATATTTGAAATACATATTAAAATGTTGTTTTGTTGTTGTTTTTTGTTGGGTTTTTTTTGTTGAAAAAATTAACCACCATTACTTTAAAGCTGCATGCCTCCACATAAGCCAACATATTTCATTTCAAGAAAATAACACTTGAGAAAAATGTACTAAGATTTAAAGAAAGTAAAAAGATTCAAGTAATAATTACCATAAATTATTTAATATGCAGTATTAATCAACATATTTTTGACTTTTAAATACATTTTGAAAATTTTCATGAAAATCAGCATGAATCTGGAGGCATGATGCTTTAACAGCATTAAAATTACCTTGATAAAGTCCCTATCAGAACATGGTTTGTCATAAAATGATGGTTAATAGAGGCCACCCTATCAAACAAAGAGTGAAATTATCTGCTATAAAAGGTCTTGTTTATTATAGTGTCACCCCTACTGAAAGGGCCAGCCATTTCTGACTTATGAAACATCTTTTGCTTGCATACCATGTACCTGGCAACTCGTACCACTATGCCAGGCACATAGAAATCGGTTACATTCATTTTAACTACCTCGCGGCTCACGAAGCGGCCATTTTGGAATGAGTCCCAAGAGAAACATTCATCCTTAAATTCACGCTCCCTGTGGGGCTCGAACCTTCGACCTACCTATTTGAAGGCGGACGCCTTAACCACTAGGCCAACGGTACTGGAAAATAAGCATGAATCTGGAGGCATGATGCTTTAACAGCATTAAATTTACATTGATATAAAATGGTTTGTCATAAAATGATGGTCAATAGAGGCCACCCTATCCAACATAGGGTGAAATTATCTGCTACAAGAAAGCACATTGGTCAAACTTCATGAAAATAATTTGCTTGATCTTTTCCAGAACAAAATTTTGACCCTTATTCTGCCGGGTTGTACTTTAGAAATGAATTATTTTCAATAGTGAAAGCAAATACTTATCAAGCAAAACTGAAATGTTTCTGTCCATTTAAAAGAAAAATCATTTTACATTGTTTAATTTAGAAATATCACAGGAAAACACTTTATAGACTACTTGTATATTTAAAATGAACATGCACCACTTGTGTGTGCTTGATACATCAGAATAGTGTAGGTCTAACAAGAGCTGTCCGTAAGACAGCGCGCTCGACTTTTTTATTGCTTGCCAATAAAAAAAGTTTTTGCAGTAAAAGGCAATACAAGAATCTCTGTATTTTTAAAGTGAACTAGTTGTTTGATACCCTTGAATATTACAGCAATGTTTATATGACATAATTTATGGTAAAGTGAACAAGTGGATAGGAATGAATTTTTTTAGATTTTTTAAGTTTTTTAGTGCTTGCCTATAATACAAAACATTGACAGTTAAGGGCCATAATTCAAATAAAATCTTTGACAGAATTGCCTTCTCCTGGACATGTTTGGGAATCATGATTGTAAACAAGTATTCCAACTTTCAAATTAATATCTCAAACAGTTCAGTCAAAAAGTGGACTGGTACTAAAAACTTAACCAAGATTCTAAGTCGATAAAAGGCCTTAATTTTTAAAACAAATCCTTGACAGAGTTACCTTCTCTTGCGTACAGATGGGGGTAATGATGTGAAATAGCATTAAAAGTTTCAAAGCAATATCTCAAAGGGTTAAGGCAATAAGTGGATTTTACCCATATTCAATGTATTTTCTAAGTCAAAAAGGGGCATAATTCTGTCAAAAACCTTGACAGAGTTATGTCCTCTTGTCTGTTGATGAAGGTCGTGATGGTAAACAAGTATGGTCAGTTTCAAAGCAATACCTCCAATGGTTTTGAAATAAAGTGAGGTGGTACAAAAAACTTAACCAAGCTCAATACACTTTCCAAGTCAAAAAAGGGCCATAATTCTGTCAAAAACCTTGACAGAGTTATGTACTCTTGTCTGTAGATGGAGGTTATGATGGTGAACAAGTATGGTAAGTTTCAAAGCCATACTTGTAATACTTCTGAAATAAAGTGGGGTGGTACGAAAAACTTAACCAAGGTGTGACGCCGACGCTGACGCCGGGGCGAGTAGGATAGCTCCCCTTTTCATAGAAAAGTCGAGCTAAAAATCACCCATTTAAAACAGAAGACCATAAGGAAAATGAAAGATAGCTCTATGAAAATTAAATATGATAACAGTTTGTAAAACATATGTATATGAAAACTTCTCCATAGTAAATGTTTCATAGAAAAATGCTTGTCGGAAACATATGGTTTATTTGATTTAAATGCTTTTGGTATCTGAAGAATTTTAAGTTTGATAATAACTGAGGTGACAACAATGTCAATAACCGCTATCAAAGCATTTTGTTTTGTTTCTTAGTGTTAATTACAATTGTTACTTCCTCTATGTATTTGCTTGATTTAGAGAAAATAATATTTAACTTGATTAAATTCGAAGAGTGAGTCGAAAAGTTAAAATCATCAAGTCTTAATGTGTTACAATCAAGCATGTCTTAACAATGGTCATTAATGATGCCCAACACAGCATTATTCATATTTTCAAACATTTTGTTTGATATCAACAAAGTGGCACCGACCATCGTTTGGGCTCAAAATGACCACAGGGGAGCATGTATTCTTCTAGTGGCTGCAGGCCGCGGAGAGTAAGTGACCGTTACTATATATTGTTTGAAATAAAAGATGACGACAGCTGACGGACACAGCATGGTCACAATAGCTCATCTTGAGTATGTTGTGCTCAGGTGAGCTAAAAAAAGAAAACATTTTTTTTCCTTAATGACCTTTTATTACAGATGAAATATGACAAAAGCATTCTATGTACAAAGCATAAAAATTGATGGACCTTGGAAAAGATACTTTTATTTTAATAACCTCTTTTTCTGTGGAGTACAGATAAAATTGTGTAGTTAAAATGTTGAAGACACAAATCTTCCATAGAAGGAATTAATGTTTAAAAAGATCACTTTTTAGAAGATGAGTTCTGCCTGAATAAATCCCAACCCTCATCTTTGAGATAATCAAAAGTAAATTAATTTTATTTTTTATCAGTCTTTAAATTCTTCATCACAGTATTTGGGAAATGAAATACAAGAAACAGCTTGACAAAAGAGTTAAAATTGCTCATTACAAACAACTTGCTATAATTCAGCAGAAATTATCTCTTCCCAAAAACGATATGATTCCTTTTTTATTTTCTACAGTCTCTGTTGTTTTTTTTTTATTATCCACAATGAAGAAATGGTAATTGTTTATCACATGATTTTTTAGAAATCTATTGCAAGTTGAAGTTGCTGCCTTAAAATTTCCCCACTGCTACACAAACATAAATAAAAAATTAGTTGTGGGATTTGTTTCCAAGTGTTCACCAGCAATGAAGTGTAAACCCGAGAATTGATGACTTGATCACCTCCTTCTTCCTCTCTCTTCTCTCCGACTCCTGAAGTAAATGTATTATATATTTACAACAAAAACAAGCAATTATCATAGTATTGCAAGCAATCCATAAGTCCCCTACCGGTTAGAACCCCATCAACATTCTGAAGGGCCATTGGCCATTCACTAATGTTTCAATTTTTCTCTATTTTAAGTAAATTTGTTGGAAAAGTTCTTTAAAAGTGATCACAGGATACAGTTTTTATGAACAGACAGACTGAAGGACACTCTAAAGTTAATATTTGAAACATCCCTGTTACCAAAATATAACATTTTAAAAGCAAAATTCTTAAAGAGGAGATAACTCTTGAATTAAAGATGCAATTTCATAAAAAATTTCAGCTCTTTTTGACTAATCACAAATATTGTTATATTTGCCATGTTTTAAGCCTATTTGTTGCCAAGGCAACTGATATTTTTTCAAAATAGGAAGAGCAGATAAGACATGCATAATCTCAAGACTGCTATCTACCCATATGTCAAGTTTCATAAAAATATTTCCAGTACTTTTTGCGTTATCACTGGATCAAGTTTATGCGTAAAATTTGCCATATTTTCAGTCTATGTGTTGCCATAGCAACCAAAATTTTCAACAAAGGAAGAAAAGAAAAAGATGTGCATAATCTCAAGACTGCCATCTACCCATATGTCAAGTTTCATAAAAATATTTCCAGTACTTTTTGCGTTATCACTGGATCAAGTTTATGTGTAAAATTTGCCATATTTTCAGCCTATTTGTTGCCATAGCAACCAGAATTTTCAACATAGGAAGAAAAGAAAAAGACGTGCATAATCTCAAGACTGCCATCTACCCATATGTCAAGTTTCATAAAAATATTTCCAGTACTTTTTGCGTTATCACTGGATCCAGTTTATGTGTAAAATTTGCCATATTTTCAGCCTATTTGTTGCCATAGCAACCAGAATTTTCAACATAGGAAGAAAAGAAAAAGACGTGCATAATCTCCATACTGCCATCTATCCATATACCAAGTTTCATAAAAATATTTTCAGTACTTTTCAAGTTATTGTGGGATCCAGTTTTGTGAACGGACGGACTGACGGACGTTCTAACAGGAGAGTAATTATGTGGCTACTCTATTGTTCTCTCTATTGTTCCTTTTAGCCACACAAAAGAAAATAGCCACATAAAAGCATTACGGAATGAATGACATCAAAAAGAAAGAACAGTTACCTATTGTCCCTCTAGCCACATAATTACTCTCCTGTGGGTGCGGACTGACAGACAGACGGACGGACGTTCTAACATTAGAGTAATAATGTGGCAACTCTATTGTTCTCTCTATTATTCTTTTTAGCCACACAAAAGAAAATAGCCACATAAAAGCATTACAGAATGAATGACATCAAAGAGAAAGAACAGCTACCTATTGTCCCTCTAGCCACATAATTACTGTCCTGTGAGTGCAGACGGACGGAGGGTAAACCTAAAGTCCCCTCCGGTAAACCGGTAGGGGACTAATTATGGTTTTTTTTGTAGCAATGATGTTTTAATTCAATAAGAAATTTTTTACAATTGCCATTATTGAGGAAGTAAGAATTGCAAATAATAAAGCTTCTCAGCGTAATATTTCACAAGCCTGCATCACTTCATGAGTAGAACCAATAACCTTCCATTCATAATATGGTTGGATATGGCGGTGTGGCCGAGTGGCTAAGGCCTCATCTAAGGACTGCTGACCCTGTCAGTGGCAAGCCATTGTTTCCTTGAGCAAGAAACTTTACATTCATTGCTTAGTACAGTACTACTGGTTGGTTCCAGGAACGGATTAGAGAGTGTTTCAATAAGCTTTTAGCTTCTAACACAATTAAACTAAGATAAATTTGTATGAACTAATCTGGTTGGATAGCATCCTCACTTGAAAGAATTCATAGCTCCAGATGGGATTCAAACTTGTAGCTGTATCAGGATATTGTTTTTTTTTTAATCAAATAGCACGAGGGGGATGATGTATAAGACAAATGTTATCAAAATTCAGCATTAAAAGTATGAGATGTTATCAAAATTCAGCATTAAAAGTATGAGATGTTATCAAAATTCAGCATTAAAAGTAAGAGATGTTATCAAAATTCAGCATTAAAAGTATGAGATGTTATCAAAATTCAGCATTAAAAGTATGAGATGTTATCAAAATTCAGCATTAAAAGTATGAGAAGTCTTCTTGTAAGATGTACACAAAGCTTAAAGTTTAAATAATCTTACTTTGTTTTCCTTGCCCCTCTTACAAATGCCCAGTCTACACTGATTTTCTGTCCTAGGATTTCACTACCATTGAGTGTGTCCATTGCACTTTGTGCCTCTTTGAATGTTTCATACTCAACCAAAGCATAACCCTGCACAAATAGTATAATAATTAACATGGTATTTATCAAGACATATAAGACAATTATTTTATTCTGACATCAAAAAACAATGAAAAGACTATGTTTTAACTGCCATTTCTGATATGATTTATAGATTAAGGGATTAGCAGCAATCTGTAACAGTATTACAGTAAAACACCAGTAGGCAGTTACACAATTATTACACAATCTGTCTGGGATGTGTACCAATAATAGGTGTATATTTGTAAGTTAATGACTTAATTTTCACAATAATTTCTTGTAAGTAAATAACTTAATTTTCACAATAATTTCTTATGTTAGAATATGAAGAAAAGTTATGTATAATACGAGGGATGATCAAGAACAAACCAGAATTTCTTTAAATCTATACCTGTGTAAAGTTCACAAGTTCCATCTATTAACTCATAAAATATCATTCATTTAATATTGTCTAGTACCATGTCAGTCCGCATTTGATTAATCATTGTTACGACAGCAATATCATAAACATTTGTCAATAGTTTGGAAAGTCTCAATTGGGATATAAACCCCCTTCCCCCCCACACACACACACACATATGTAGCTGGTCAAACAAAGTTTTTTTCAAGTGGCACAGATGTAAGGTTGTTTTTAGTTTTAAATTTGATGTAGTCAAACCTAATTCTTAAAATAAAACATTTTTGGTACAATCTTAATCGCAGGAAACATTTACTTTCAATTCTAAGAATATATTGTACTTAGCTATGGCAAATGCAGACTTCTAAAGTTAAGTTCATTTTCATACATGCTTATTTTGTCAAACATCTAATTAATCTTATCTCAATAAATGATACTAAAATGTCTTCAATTCTAAGAGGTGTATGATTTTCCCCACAATTACACAATAGTTCAAGAGTCATAGGTTTGAGTTGGTACATGTAGCACACTTACAGAGAGCAACATCCAGAATTTTTACAACAGAAGCACTCCTTTATGGTTTGCGAATAATGGATTCATAAACAATGACTTTGTATTTCGTAGAGCAGCTAACACTTTGAAAATCTTTAATATGCTTTATGACTTCAATGCCAATGACCTTGTCACAACGAATAGACTGCACCCTTAGGACATTACTTTGTTTGCTTAGATTTACATGTGCTAGACATTATGTGTTTAATTGCTATAATTTTTTTGTTTCCATGTGATGAGCATAGATAACACATTAATAAAGTGTCTCTAATCACAGACGCTTGGGGGTCAGATCCACCCCCCCCCCATCGTGATACGCCCTTGAAAACACTATATAAAAACTATTTTAATATTTAAACACGAATGGGACATCTATTACAATGATAAAACTGGCTTTCAAACAATTTTTACATATATGAAAAAAATACCGTATACCATCAAGTCTCAATAAAGTAAAGATTGCAACTATTATAATAGTTTTGATATAGTGTTTACAGGGGCATATCACGTTTTGGGGCAGGATCTGACCCTCAAGCATCTGTGTCTCTTATGTGAACTTTTAATAAATATTATTGATTCTATGGCTCATTTATGTGTAATTCTGGTTCATCCCACATTTATTGTCTTGAACAGAATTTTAAGTGCACCAGGAAAAGTAGAATCTTTGCCAGACAATATCAGTCTTTGAGTAACAATTTATTAATAAACACTTACTATTTTAAACCAGGTATACATATCAATTTATCTTTATTAAAGTTACTAAAGAATAAATGTTGCTCAGTAGCTAGCAGGTTGGACTATAACCTTAGCAGACCATGTCACATTCAGAGGCCATGATCAGGGCCATAACAGAAGCCACAAATAGTGTTTAATACTGAATGCCTGAATGTGTACTCTTACAAAGACTAATGCTCTAGACTTGGTACAGGGAAGTTCACTATAACCATTATTGAAAGTTAAATTTGAAATTAAACTACTGCAACCATTAAGAGTTATGACTTCTCTTGATTTCTTAAGTAAACTAAGAAACATTCACCTCCATTGAATTCTGTCTGAGTTTTCACCTTCAGTCAGATTTTTGTCTTGGATTATCATAACAAATATCTATAAACATACATGCATAAGATGCAGTCTTACCTTTAAGAAACCTGTACGTCTGTCAAGATTAAGATGTAGATTTTTTATTTCACCATGATCAGCAAATTTGTCGTAAACATCATCTTCTTGGGCTTCCTCGTGAACACCAGTGATAAACAAGATCCATCCTTCAATGGCTGAAATTGTACATGTTTGTGCTTGTTGATAAAACATTTCATTCATGTAATTTCAAAACATAAGCTAAGTTTAGAGTGTATGAAGGGTTATCATAATTTTCTTTATTTATTTTTACACATTCCCATGGAAAAAATTTAAATTCCCTCTTTGGGGAAACATTTTTTTAAACATAAATTTCTCTATTCACAATTACATTTTATTTATAAATTCCCTCCTGCCCTTTTATTCACAAAAAATTTTGTGTAAAAATTTCCTTCCCCTTTAAATATGAATAAAATTATAAAGATCTAAAAAATTTTGTCTATGATTACACAAACCAAAATAATTTAAATACCCTTAAAACATATACCGTGGAATCTGATAAATAGGCAAATATTTGAATAGAAGTGCATATCAAAAGTGTACATACTGCCTTACCTTAATTCTTTGCAACATAATAATTGTTATTATTATTATTATTATTTTGTACTTAAAATACTAAACAAGAGAGCCAAGATGGCCCTAGATTATTCACCTAGGACACATTCCTAGAAAAGGTCACAATTTTCATTTTTCAATAACGTCAGTAATGAGGACACAATTTAATGAGGACACATTTGGTGTGTCATTTTTCACCCGAGCTGATAATCTTCAAAATATTGGAAGATCTCTGCTATGAAATGCTTCATGACAAATATATCTAAACTCTTTGCAAGTCTATATAATCTTAGTTATACTGGGGCAAGAACATATGTTGACCCCAGGAGCATGATTTATATAAGTGTATATGCTTATTCACCAGATTATACAATATTCAGAGAATCATACTTACATCTCTGAGGACCAGGTCCACCATCTCCTGTTGTAGCTTCAACTTCCATAGCTTCATAGTCTTCAACACCACTTCTGGTTGTCCCCTCTATAATATGTTGTGTATATAGAATTGTTATCTTAACTTTTCTTATATCAATAATAATTTGTTAATGTCCATCACTGCTTTAATTTCTTATAATTATCCTTAAATTTTAAACTCTTTAAAAAGTATTTTCTATAAAACTAAAAACAATGTATAAATGAAGTAAAAATTTATAGTATTAAATCTCTCAATACATGAGAATCACACTGAAGTACTTTTACCTGAGCCAAAACCCCTGCCTTTCCGCTTCTTTGCCTTTTCTTTCAATTTTTGAAGTCCCTCTATAATGAAAATAAAATAGAATTAGACTATTTAGAATTGAATTAGGAAATTTACTAGTGGCCCACTTGCTCCATTATTTATTTAATACTAACATGCGTAAAGTCTGAGCCAGGCCATAGGCCCTGCAAGGGCTGTAGAGCTGTTAGATAACATATATGACATCAGTCACATGTATAACTTAAATTAAAATGACATAAAAGTCACATTAAAATCAATGATTGAGATAAATTCCTTGGTTAGCTGGGCGCTACCAGGCTTGATCTTGGACTGGTTCTATAGAGTTATAATTAGATTTCAGGATGCTTAAAAAAGAATAAGTAATGTAAGCCTCACAATTCAGACTGTTACTAGTAGACGCAACATTCTTCTGTCCTAAATAACACTTCCAGTAGAAATATGATGTAGAAATTAAGTAAATAAACATCATAATCACTGATAAGAACTGAAGTTACAATGGTTAACATAAAAAAGTTACTTTTTAAATCAGCACGTTTAAATCAAAGGTACCCGTCACAGTGTTGGGATAGTGTAAAAAAGAATTGCGTTTTTACATGTAGAAAATAGAGTGGGGACAGGTTGCACGGTTGTTGTCGACCTAGCAAAAATACGATGTTCCATCCGAAATATTGGTTTGTTGTTCAAAAACGGTTTAAGTGGGAACAATAATGTTATTGTCAATGTCTAGTGGTGTCATTTAGCTGCAAATTGATATATAACTTTATATGATTTACGTAAAAATGTCTTTGCAATTTTGACTTATACTGGACTAGTGGCAGTCTGTTGATTTGGCGAGTTCAACCCCTTGTCTATATATTTTATATAAACTATATTTTTTTTCTAGAATTACTTTTTTACACTATCCTAACACTGTGCCAGGTCCCTTTGGTTTAAATAACATAAACACAACTCTGATTAAAGATTAACAAAAAATGGCAGACAAGATATTCTGAAACACTATGAACATTGCTGATAAGGTAAGCCCCACCAATTCATACAAATCAAATTATAGTGGAACCCCGTTGTATCGTGCTATTCATTGTATCGATCTGTTTACAAATCTTTCGATTTTTTTGCAAAATGCACTAGCTACTGATTGCTGACATTTACAACAGTGTCACAAAATCTTTCGCATTTGTTTTGTGCCGTAAAAATGATCAAAAACATGGTTCCAATACCATCAGACTTTGTAGATAATAAATAGACTTATAAATAGTGTGTTCTTATTAAAAGCACATTTACTGTCTATTGAAAGTTTCTAAATTAATGCTGACATTTTAAAACAGACAACTTTGAATCTAATTGACTGAAAAATCTAGCATAAAGATGGGTAAGGCTTCCCAAACTTTGACTAACTGAGCGATTCTCACAATGCATCAATATAATTTTGACCTAATTCTTCAACCTGTTTGACATGTTTGTAAATAACTGTATATTGCAAAGCTAAAAACTATACTGGCATGCGAGCAGTTCCCGTACAGAAGCAGTACCCGTATTTTTCATTTAAACGCTTGATTTTTACTTGCATTCTTCAAAAATTCATTTCAAATCAAGCAGATACATAAACGAGACAAAATCCAAGTGTCAGTTCGGCAGTACGTATAAAAAGTCTCATTTTAAATCACATTTCACCTGTGCGTCGTCAAAACGTGACCTTGTTTTCTTCTGGGGGATTCCGTCCTTGCGCGCATGCGCAAAAATACTTACACGTGAGGCTTGTTAAAGGGTTTTCCACTAATACCACCTGTTTACAGATAAGTAGGCAATGTGATGAAAACTTGTTTAATTATCAGAATTTTGACCAATATTACTATATAGAATAAATTTTATGGCTTTTGATGCGTAAAATATCATGCATACAAGCATGCTATTGCATGTGAATGCGTTGGGGGTAACGGTACCCGGTAATAGATACCCGCGTTTAGTCTACGCTCTATTTCCTGAATTACATCTATTTATCTCTTAGATAATGGTCTGTTCAACAATTGTAAATGAAAAATAGGTCCAATATAATAAAATTTTATAATTATAATGGGTTTAGATTTTATGTACGGGAACTACTTCTCTTCATAAAAAATAATCGATAATTTCGGTACCCCATATGAGGCCTCATAAGTAAGGGTTATTCTATGTTTAGAACATGATGGAATTTCCATGATTTGTGTGACGAGCCGAATATTGATGTGTAAAATTCAAATTTTGGTGCGTGAGCGTAATAAAAAATAATGTTTAAGTAACTATGATTTTTGTACGGGAACTGCTCGCATGCCAGTATACACTGGAGCCGCGATATAGCGCTCATGATGGGGTCCATGATCTCAAGACAGCGTTGTAACGAGTAACTTTTTATAACGCTCATTGTGTAATTATAGCGAAAATATCGCATTACCCCACCCACCGCCGAAACATATAACACTTGTTAGTGGAAATGATTGTTTACTTACCTTCCAATGGATATCAGTCCAAGCTTTTTTATATATCATTATTAATTATTTTGTAAAGCATTACTGAATATCTTTAATATTAACATGAAATTTACAAATTAAAAATATAAACCACGAATGTACAATTGTTTATAAATTTCCAGTAAAACAGCGGTGTTAACGTGTGTTATGTGTGGTCATGAAAATTGATACCTAGTGGATGGGACTAAATTAATCGTCTTTCCTGCTGTCTCTTGTGAAAAAATCAGTCATCCTCAACAACTTTTTTGCCGATAGGCGATAGATCGAAAGTAATTGCTTTTTAAAATTAATTGTACGCTTGGGTGATTTACTTAACTCTTCAATGTTTGCATGTTTTAGCTAACAGTTTGATACCTGACTGATCAACAGTTCAAAATGAACAAAAGAGCGGATTAACGCTTACCTGTGTATGACTTCACACCTTCTTATCATGAGTGACGTAATTATGACTGTTTATTGCACTCGACTGACACATTGAACAAGCGTTATAGTGGATAAGGTGTGGTATTGATATACATGAAAAAAAATTATAATCGGCGAAAAATACGATTTTTTTTTTGGGAGCCAAGGCATATGAGCGTTCTACTGAGATTAGCGCTATACCGAAGAGCGCTATATCGCGGCTCCAGTGTATCAGTGATGTTTGCCATGTAAATATTATGACAAAAGAATCAAAATAAATAATACAAAATAAAGATTCAGGGAGATTTAATTTTTTAACTGCAGTTGTGATTTATGGGTAAATAGATCGCTACAACGGTTTACAGACACTTCACCCCCAGCATTTTACCCTAGGCCCTTTTTTTGCATACACTTCACCCCTCAGACAGTACACCCCTCATTTGAAGAAATTTGATTGAGACACTTCACCCCCCCCATTTTTTATTTTGTGTTGAACAATTATTTATCTAGAAAATGTTAAATGTATTCAATAGCCTAGGGATCAAGTTAAGTATATTGTTTTAACAAATTTTATTATTATTTTATCATGTAATTGACCAGAGGGGTGAAGTGTCTTCAAAATTTGAGGGGTGAAGTGTCTGGGGGGTAAAGTGTCTTGCTACCGATACAACGTGGTTCCAGGCTAATGGTACAAAACACAGGTCTGCATTTACTTATTATTTACAAAGACCATGACAGATCTGCTTTATATATCGGAAAAATTTACTTGTTATTACATTATAAAATACTTTCGGCGTGGGTAGCACCTAATCTCAAATTACTTTATAATACGGGGAAGTCAAAGACCGGGCCCGCAAAGCGGGTCCGGGCTTTGGCTTGCCCGGCTATAGACTACACATGTATATTTAAAAGAAAATCAAATAAAAAACAATTTAAAAATATATAGAATTCTATACCTATCAATGAAATTTTCAGTGTCAGTTCTAGTGGGGCGCCACCATTTACAATGTAAATCAATGATAATAGGCGGGGTATTCCGATAACGGAACAAATCTCACTTTTTCGGATCAATAATAATCATCGAGTGTTCCGAATCCGAGTGAAAACGGAAGCGGTGCATGTAATACCGAATAACACCTTTAAAACGGAAAGAATGAAAGGAATTTTAGGAGCAATATTATAAAAACAAATTTTGAATAAACTGACACTTATGACGTCAATAATGGCAATTATTGATCAAACTTGAAACACAAATTACTTAAAAATTATGGGACAGTTTCAAAAGCGTCTTTTCAGAAGTCGCGAAATTAAATGACAAATTGGATTCTGAGAGAAAGTATGGATAGGATCATCATTTAAATATAGATAAAATAAAAATGATACTAAAAAACGAAAATTAACAGTTTCATTACCATCGCCGACTTCGTCAATCTCGAATTCGGCTTCTCCTTCGCCTTCCAAGTCTAAAACGTCGGCCATACTTTTTGCTTTCTAGACTGGTTCGTCATCTAAACACCAAAAAGAATGAGAAGGGAAAGACTCAAAAGCAATTGTAGACATGTTTATTTGAATAAATATGTCATTATGTTTTTTTTGGTTGTCAAGTTAAGTTGCATTTGTAATATGTTTCAAAACATTTACTATTATATTTGGGAATGACCAGTCATTGATGATTATGTCACGTGTCGTTTTTTCTACCCTGTGACAATTATAATGTGTTTGATACAATATATAAGGATTTATATAAGACTGTCATATTTTTAAAATATTGATGCACAGTATATAAATAAAGGTTGAGTTTCATTTTTTTATTGTGATTGTTTATTTATTTCAAAATAATACAAAATTATACATCAAACAAATCTGGACCAGAATATAATTATTGTTATTCATAAACAAAAGGGTTAGTTCTTTTTTTAGGGTCCTCCTGGGCTCCTCGTCACTGGTTCTTGTAATTGTTGGGTAGTGTGGGGTTGCGTTCATTAAACACCGCCATGCCTTGTTGATCTTGTTTATTTGTTAGTATACATGTACTGATTGTTTCGTGCAAATAATCTACCAGTACACTTTTTAAACGTTATGTCAGCACAAATACGCCTAGGCTTGTGTCAGAACTGAAGTTGAGAAGAGTTCAGAGGGCAACGTATTGTTCAGTGCAGTCAATGATATTCACTGCCTGGGATATGTAATATATATTTTTGTACGAGATAAAACGGCAAAAAAAGAAAGAATGAAAATATAGTTGAAATAATTCCATGAGTCATGTACCACCATTTTGTTAGTAATGGAAAGAAAAATTGGAAAGTAAAATGAATAATACATCTATTTTTAAACTACATGTAGTTACAATGATAATGATATATAACTTTGTGTTTTGTCTCATTTCACAGATATCGCTGGAAATAGCTCCTTATAGACCTATACTAGTAGAAGAAACATAGAAGAAGATAAATGAATTTGTGGATGTGTGTGACGAACATTGGCAGTTCTTATAATAACTAGGTCATTGTGCCTCTATAGAACTAATGGACAGTAACTCATATCTGTGTTTGTTTTTGTGTGTGTGTGTGTGTGTGTGTTTTTCTAGATAGTTTTTACATAAAAAATAAAGGATACCATTGTTAAACTTTTATTTTCTGTTATTTTTGTTCATTTTTATTTTCATTCTTGATAAGTGATTATGTTTTTGAACAAAATAAATAATAAAAATGGGACCGGGTTGACAAGAAATAACATTTGTTTTTGGCCAGATTGACCGATTTTGGAAAGAATTGACTTAGGGCCGTATTAACCGGGGCCTGACTTGTTCCCTATGATTACGCAGATGACAATTAACACTTCATCTTTAAAAATTTTATACTATTTTTTTTCTAAACTGACTTCTACTCTAGAACAAGAAAGCGATTCCCTTATAAACTGGGTTCACTTTAACAAAATGCAAGCAAACCCAGATAAGTTTCAAGTTATTGCAGTTGAAGAGTCTTTGACATTCAAAATAAACACCAGCAGAATAATATGTGATGATACTGTCAAACTTCTTGGAATATAAATTGACCAACAATTAAATTTCAACTTTCACATAAAAAGCAGCAATTCACTTGAATATCCTCAAAAGAATATGTCCAGCTTTAATCAAACAAATAGGTTAACAGACTTTCACACTTTGAAATTATCAAATTTTAATTTTGTCCAATGTCATATGGCATTTTTGCTCTGAAAACAGTACAAGAAAGATGAAGAATTTGCAGGAAAGGGCTCCCAGATTCGTCTATTACAATGATAAGTAATTAAGTAAGTAAGTAACGACTTTATTTAACGAGGCTTACACATTCAGTTTCCCGATCTTCCATGTGGGCCTCAGCATAACATTATTACAATCAGTTTACATGTTTATGTTTCTACATGTAAGGTTATGCTAAAATAGTTAATATGCCAACATTAAAAATAACAGAAATGTAGTCTTTTGCAATTGAATTTTTAAGATCCTTTATGATATGTTCCCATGTTGTTTTATCAGGTATTATTATTAAAACATCTGTTATGTCTTATAAATATTCAATATTCAATTTTTATTGATAGACAATATTATGACTTTATTGTCCTTTTAAATTCATATTACATCTGTTTTTGTAAGTTATGTAGTAAGTTTTTCATGTCAGTATTTTTAATCATTTAACTGATAATATTGTTTAATCCTTTTAGCAATAATTGTGACTTTTATATACAAGTTTATTTATTTAGACTATTTGTGCATGGTGAGCCAATGCAACGGTAACATTAGACATAACTTTTATTGATTTAAAAACGAAACATATTTTCATGAAATAATATTTAAATATGCTAGGGAAAGAAGTTTAATATTGCACATTTGTCATATGACATTACATAGAACCTAATGTTTTATAATTGTAAAAGAAAACAAAAACGACTCAAAATAAAGTTTCTTATATCATGAATACGACAGAATAAAAATATAATTGAAAAGAATACCTTTTATTCCCAATCAAGGGTCATGTAAAATGACATATGAAACACAATAATAATAAGATCAAAGATCAAATAAAGATGTTAAAGAAAATAAGATTCGTACCATAGCACTAAAAATTAAATGAAAAAAATAAAAAGGAAACTGATGAACTAAATTTTGCTAACTACAGTACAGTAGACTTAACTTTTAAACATCTTATTAAACGTATAATGATAAATGTAATTGAATACACAATAAGTGTACTTTTTTTAAAATCTTTTTTAAGTTTTCTTTTAAATTACAGTCATGTCTTTTCAAAAAGAGAAGATGACACCTGTTTTGTAGCTCTAATGTCTACTGTCTCATTCTTCGTGGTATTTATTTTACTTTAGGTTCATTAATTGTTGCTGTACCAATATCGTTCTCAGTCTGCAAATTTGACAGATGCTGACAAAATGTTGATAAACAAAAGAAGCGGTGAAAATCATTATCTGTCAAAAGATGGAGTTTTTATCTATTTATCCGTGACTTTTATGTGATGATAACAATTGCAATGTATATTCAAAAGGGATTTTTGACTGTCATTGGATTATTATGGCTATTTGGTTTGGGGGCTCCAGGTGAGTGGGTGGGGAGTTATAGTTCCCTTGTTTAGTTTTTATGTTGTTTTTAGTTTAATTTAAAAGCAAAAGAGAAAGGTGGTTTGGAATTTTTTGAAATCATTATATGTGTATGTGAAGAATTTTTCAAGCATTTGACAAACTGATGACACATGGAGGAAATGACAAAAAAATACGAGTATATGTCATTAAAAATTCATGATTTTATGTGAAAATTAATATTCTCTCATTATATTTGTTTAATGTTTATAGTAAATGTGAATATAGTGCTATGTGTAAAGAAGTCAAATTGCAGAAAATAAATTTTGATCTATGAATCAAACATTTACCAAATAATTTTATTGTTTTAGACAAGGTTTTTTTCTATTATTACAAAATTTGCAAAATTGGTAAAGTTAGCAGACTGAGAGGTAATATAAAGATTCACCCCAATGGCAATTCATCTCATAATTTATATTAAGAATTTTAAACTGACATTTATTAATCTCATTTGTATTTTCTTTTCATTTCACTGTCGGAGTTATAAGTAATGAATTAAATTAATGTTATGAATAAGTATTTTACACATAATGATTTGAGCCGCATCAGGACAAAACCAACATAGTGCTTTCGCGACCAGCATGGATCCAGACCAGCCTGCCAACTGCGCAGTCTGATCAGGATCCATGCTGTTTGCTATCAGTTTCTCTACTTGTATTAGAGTTTGGAAGCGAACAGCATGGATCCATCCTGGTAGCAAACGCACTATGTTGGTTTTGTTGTGACGCGAGTCGACTCATTTGTTTCTTAAAAGCAGATTGTTCTACATTATTGAAAATGGTATTTTCTAGTAATTCTATGAATTATATGGTAACATAAATATTATGTTTTTTTCTAAAACTATAAGACTATGACAGTTAAATAACGTAACATAAGTCATAAGTAGAAGACTCAAAATAAATGCAAGAATTGTTCCGTTAATTAAATCCACATTTTTGCCTGGATGATTGTGTAATTCCTAAACAAAACAAAAAATTACCAACTCACTAAAAATAGGTTAATTAGACATCTGAAACAGGTTTTGAATGATCCACTTTAAATGATTCTGCTCACCTTTTATCTTTATCAGTGCGGCACTAATCAAAGAAAATCAAAGGTTGAGCCGAATTCATACATGTAAATTTACAGGGTAGTTTTGATGACGTAGCGTGTAATACCTACTGCCAAATTACAAGAGGTCAATTGACTGACACAGACACGTGATAAGTTAATCATGTGAGAATAACTTTGGGTATTGGAACTGTTTATTACGTCATTGGTAAAGTTAGCAGACTGAGAGGTAATATAAAGATTCACCCCAATGGCAATTCATCTCATAATTTATATTAAGAATTTTAAACTGAACATTTATTAATCTAATTTGTATTTTTTTTTCATTTCACTGTCGGAGTTATAAGTAATGAATTAAATTAATGTTATGAATAAGTATTTTACACATAATGATTTGAGCCGCATCAGGACAAAACCAACATAGTGCGTTTGCGACCAGCATGGATCGAGACCAGCCTGCGCAACTGCGCAGTCTGATCAGGATCCATGCTGTTCGCAATCAGTTTCTCTACTTGTATTAGAGTTTGGAAGCGAACAGCATGGATCCATCCTGGTCGCAAACGCACTATGTTGGTTTTGTCGTGACGCGACTCATTTGTTACTTTAAAGCAGATTGTTCTACATTATTGAAAATGGTATTTTCATGTAATTCTATGTATGGTAACATAAATATTATGTTTTTTTCTAAAACTAGAAATTTAACTTTATAAATTAACTGAATGCCTTAAACTGAAAATGGATACATGTAGTATTTCAATGCATAGCACCTACTGGAAAAACATATCTTTTTCATCAAAAACAAAGACTATATATATCTAAGACTCACTTAAACATTCTTTAAGGAAAATGTTTTAGAACATGGTGTCATGATGATTATAGAAAGAGGGCAAATCATCACTGAATTATGGGGAAATTGTATCAGTTTTGTTATTGATAACGATCAATTTCTGTCACATAGTTACAGAGAACATTTTACATCACAATGATACCTAAGCAAACATTTAATTTTATCATTTTTTCATTTAAATATTTGAAAGGAAGTTTTAATTAAATATTTTGAAATGGGGAGAACTGTCACTAATCTGGGATGAATCATTACTAAAGTGAGGCAAGTCTAAATGGGAGCAGTTGTTATCAATTAGAAAAAGAGCATTGATTGACCCTACACTTTAATTTAAAATTATCAGCTGTCTGTTGGATTCCAACACAAGACCAATTAGTATGGTTATCTAGTCAATAGTTACTTGTCCCATTCATACTAACTATGTCCCAGATTAATGTTATAACCATGAATATTTTTAAGGAAAAAATATTACCTGTTTTGACTTTTGGTAAGATTTTTTGTGCACATTTTACAGAATGTAAAATAAAAGGAAATTAACATTCCTACATACTATATTTGTTATTGTAGCTAGGTCTTTTTGTGCTGGTTGTATTTAATCTTGAATCTAAATACATTGGCTGAGAATACTTCTAATACATATCAAAACATACATGTTTAATTACCAGTTGAATGCTAAAACTTTCTAGATTCCCAATTTTACATGTTGACAAAACAATAACAAAAAACAATGTTCAGATTATGATAATACTGTAGTTTTTGCATGGCTTACTGTCAAAAATTCAAAGTTAACTATTCTGAAAATATCATTGAATGATTGATGACAGCCTTATTGAATTTCATGGTGATTAAAATGGAAAGTTTTTTAAGATGTTTATTTCAGTGATACCTCTAGTAGTATATGTGTGTGTGTTCATCTTCTGTATGTAATAATTTCAACTAATTATATGTGTTTATCTTCCAAACCATCTGTCAGATAAATTACATATATCGCAGAGTAGTGGACAATAAACAGATCAAATATATTGATCAAGATTAATTTCAGCGTACAAAGTCATTTTCATAGTTTCAAACCTCTCATTTAGAATATGTAAATGTTCAATTGTTATTTACATGCAGTCTCAACACCTTATTGTCAACAACAACAACAACATAAACTTTATTTAGCTCAAGCAATGATTACAAGCATGTGAGCATACAGCGAATAATACATTTGAACAAAAACACCTTATTGTCAATATGTACACAAATGTTAATTATTGATTGTACCCAGCTTTCCTGGTACAAAAATCTTAGTGATAATGGTGAAATATGAACAGTTGTTGCATACTACACTTCTTTTATGAAAGTTGAAGATTGTGTTAGCACTTAATGATAAATGACAAAATAAATAGTATAATCTATTTAGAAGTTCAATGTCTCTAATAGGAATGATATAGTGACAACTGCTTTGAAGGTTTCATACTAAAAAAGAAGTTAAAATGATGTATATTTGGAAAAAGTACAGAATTTTCCATAGAAGATCTTTTGTACCCTGATGCACTCGCATGCACAATGTTTTTTCGTTGTTTTCTACGAAAGGTACATATGATCAAACTTTTCCATTTTAATAAGTGGTCCTGATGAAGATCATTGTTATGAACGAAACTAGTCGACTTTAACAAATAATCTCAACCTATTAGGTGGTGATGTTAAGTTTCTCTTTGTCTTTTTCTGCCCTCGGTGTAATGTAAGTGATGTTCAAAGTTATTCTTCACCATTTAAACAAACATGCCAAAAAGTTGCTTTATGATCCTACCCAGGTCAATATCATTGAATTTATTCAATATGCAGTGCTAGCAGGCCTTCAAGTTTATTATTCTGTAACGGAATTTCTCACATTAGATTCAGCCAACATCTATTGATTTTTCAAACATGCAACAATGCACAAAGTCCTGCATGTAAAAATTGTGAAAATTTTATTGACGTTGCTTGGAGTAAATTTCATCCATTTCACAGAGCATCCTCCTCCTAATTGTGATTTTTACAGTGCACTGTTACATCTGAAGCACATTAAGGAATGGACTGGTGCATTGATTAATGAAGTCATGCATGTATTGTTCTTTTTACATTACAATAATGGTGTTGCTAGGTACCATAAACTCTCCAATAATTGTAGTATCAGAGATTATACAGTGTCAAGATCAGTCTCCCTCTGTCAGAGACCAAGGGGCAGTGGTCTTGTGGTTCAGATTCAGGGTATATTGGTTCGAGCCTTACTTGTCCTCATAAAACATCAGATCTTATTAGTTCCATAAGGTAAACTTGAAAATCATTATTATTAGTTGCCAGAACTTGTTTCAAAATTGACAGTCTTAAATAAAATCTCCCTCAGGCTCTGGTTAATATTAATCGTTCTGAAATGATGCCTATGCAATGTAATGTTTGGCTTACACATTGTTTTATTGTTTTTCAATTAAAGTTGTTGTTTTGATGATAATACTTTTTGTAAAGACATTCATGAATTAAGTAAAAATGTAGGAACATTCAGTGACTTTATAAACCAGTATTTAATAATGCAGGGCAACAAGTACATGAGGAAAATTTGCTAGAAGATAATAGCAGACATGCCATTTATTTCCTAAATATTTCTATGAGATTTGCTTGATTCTTTTCTTCTTGAATGCCCATTTTCCTCTCTGTCTGTCTGTCTCTATCAGCAAAAATGAAAAACAAAATGTGTTTCAGATTACAAAAAAACGTTCAAAGAGAATGATTTCCTTTGTAGAAAAAATTAAAATAATATAAATACTGTCGCTATTTTGTACAAATTTGCAACATGTTTCACCCTTGCAATGCATTTACTTATCATTTAAACATGAAGGTAGATGGTGTGAAAGAAAATCACTGGAAAACTGTGTACATGAATATTTATACAATCATTATGGTATAGTGTCATATAGCAGTTGCAAGAACAACCTGATGAATAATTCAGCCGCTATAGCCAGATCCTATCAACAAATCCTTGCTGTTCAATGTAATTAAGATAAAATGCAAAAAAGGCTCCTAAGCTGAAATTTAGATAGTAATG